GGGGGAGGGGAAAAGGGTGGAGGGGGGTGTGGGAGGGGTTGTTTGAGTAGGATGTTATGTGATGTTTATCTTTGTTTGGTGAGTGGATGGGGATTTCTGGGGAAGGGATCGATGTGAGGAGGTATTGGTATGGCATTAAAAGCTGCATCGTGAATGATATTTGATCGCTGTCAGTCAGTATACGGCAGATCAAACGCCGGTCCCATGCTCTGTCGACTAGTCCTGATCCGGTCCAGTCTCGACATTTCCTGCTGGATGCCGCTTACTCCCTCTGTCTCGGTCTCCTGGCGTTGCACCCCCGACGCCTCGCCAGCCGTCTCTGGTGTTTCGGGTACCTCTGCATCCTCAGCCTGCTTCTCTTCGGCCAGTACCGCATAATGCGCCCGACGATACACCCCCACCGTACTCACCACCAACCCCACCACCTCATATGCAAACAACACCGGCAACGCATAGTCCAACTGCGGATTACATCCCCCGGACCAGATATCCACCATGACCTGGAAGACACTATGCGCGGGGAGGGCATGTCCCCAGCGATAGAAACCAGGCGACAATTCAAACGGCAATAAAATTGAAGTCACGTTTAATACGACCCACGAGATCAACGCCATCGGGACCACCGGTGGAGGCAGCCAGATGGTGAACATATCCAGAACGAGAAAGTTGAGATGAGCGAAGAGCCATAGTGTCATCCAGGTGAGCATGTACTGTCCCCCGGACACGTGCCAGTCATACCGAAAGGCCCAGATCGCACCGGTGGTGCAGAGCGAGCCGATAAAGGTGTACGTGACGGAGAGGAGTTGGCGGACGATGGCGATGCGGTGAGCGTCCACTGCCACGTAGAGATGAAACTGCTGGTACAGGCCGTTCAAATAGCCGAGGTAGAAGAATTCTTGGATGAGAATGAGAATCACTACGAGAGTGTTGTAGATGAGACGGGAGCCTTGGGTGGTGGGTTGAAGGTTGATGGAGGAGAGGGACCAGGGGTTGGCGAGGAGGGAGATGGCGGCGGGGTCCGTCTGGTTCATGGTTTGCAGAATCTGGAGACCGTTGGATTGCGTGTAGGCGATGCGGGCCGCGTTGGAGAGGGATTGCATGGGGGATTGGATGGCTGAGTCGATGACGGACGGGTAGCGGGCCTCGTTCCATACCAGGGTGAGGATGTCGCTGCGGTTGTAGGTGGTGGCGGGGTCGGCGAGGGCGGCGGATAAGCGGTTAGAAGCATTAGGGGAAGTGTATAGGCCCCCCCAGTGGTGGATGTGACAGACGGAGGAGATGATGGAGGTCGGCTGGGGGTATCGGTCCGGGGACTGTTCCTGGAGGGTCGGGAAGCCGGGGCCTTGGAGCTGTTGGTAAGCGGCGCGGATGGCCTGGCCGATGGGGCCGCCGTCGTAATCCACAAAGAGGATGTTCAGGTTGTGGATGTGAGTCGTTTGCTGGAAGATGGACCCAAACAGATAGCAGAACAGCCCGAGAAAGAGCAGTTGCAGGATGAGCAGGTTGATGGTGGCGGCTTTGATGACGGCCAGGCGCAGGGGCCGCACCGCCGGGTCGTGGATGCTGCGGTGCGGACGATGTCGCGCGGCGGGATAGAAGGCCATCATGGTGTTATCAGGGATAAGGACAGTTATTGAAGTGATTGAGAGAAAGCCCACCTGTCGGGGTAATTGATGTTGTCGTGATGAGTTGGGTTAGTCATCACCTATGACCGCGCAGGATCCATGGATACGAGGCTCACACCGTTAACACGGGATTGATCCCTCGAACGAAGCAAAACCACGGCTGGGGCGGAAAACGGTCGCATTGTCCATCTCAAGATACAAGAACGTTTCATTCTAATACAGTTGGATTAGCCCGCAACGAGTATGGGTGCTCTAGGGCTCGGATACATCACCCTACCCCCCCAAACGTTATCGTTCTGGAAGAATGGATTCGACAGCCGATGTGAGAGGCCTGAGGGATTGGCGAGCTGTATACGATATAGAGAGCAGCAGAGCTGGAAGTGATGGGATCGGGGCCGGTCAGGCCGTGTTTGTAGCAGGATTCGTGATCCGGTCATGCTCGCCGACGAGACGCGCCTCCTGATATTGTCACCCTGCATTGGACCTCCTGGCTCCCATTCCCGTTTGATGATGTCGATCAAGTTAATGAATCCCTACATGCGCTGATGTGATACATCCATCGACATCGTGATTCCCTGCCCAGCCTGGACCGGGGTAGACTAGCGCGCCAAGCACCGTATCAGGAATTACCATACCGTCGCCTCCCGCCGCATGGATAACTATGGACTCCGTACTCCGTACTCCGTACACGGCGCATACTAGGACCGTAGACCGCGGTACGGTATTGCTGTATCCATGACAACGTCCGGTCGGTGGAGAGGCTGCATATAAGGGGGGGTTTGGGTGTCTCCCTCCGTTGCGCGACACGACCAACTTCACCGGCTCCCAACCGCCAAACCATGGCGTCTTCACATGATGTCCATGTCGCGAAGACTTCATGCCTGCTGTGTAGACAATCACCAACGGCCGGGACATACATCCTGGGTGCGTTTCCCGAGTCTCACCGCTGGAGACGAGACCAGTCTGGGCTAATGGACAAACAGACCTGGCTCGAACTCGCCTGGTGGTCCCTGAATATCGATACCCGTGCGCCAGCTGCAATCGATCGCCGTCCCCATCGGTGTGGTTTCATCCAGCATGCTATGAAATCCTAGAGGCTACGTACGAGCCGTCCGGGAAACCCACTATGGAAGAGTTGGGGAAACTTGCGGCTGCCACGAGACCCAGGTATGAGTCTCGCCATGCCAAAGGAGGCGAGGTAGCGTCGGTCCTCGAAGGGCTCTTGAGCAAGTATACGACACGCATCCTCCAGGAGAGCTTCGACCAGGATTTGCTTCGGCGATTGCCGCTGGAAATCCGAGTCATGATCGCCGAGCTGATAGGACCCTGCTGGTACTTGACCGTCCTGGGCGAGAGCCGTCGGCTGATTGAACACCTGAGGCAGCCCACGGACAGCCAGTGCATGCAGCTCGACCTAACACGAGACATCTGGATATCGAGAATCAACTACCGGGGCAGTTTTTATGTAGCACGCATCAGCAACACGCCGTTGAAATCAACGGTCCCTTCCGGTCAATCTCACATACAGCCGCCCAGTACAATCTCCAAGGTTGTCCTGTCAATTGATGGTATTGGTCTACGTGGCTTACAAGTCCTGGACCCTTACTCAAGTCCGACATCGGATCGGTCACCGTGGTTCGAAATTCTCGAAGCGGGAAAATCCCAGCTAAAAGCCCAGGTCACCTTTGATGTATGATTCTCTCTCTCTTTCCTAGCAGGACAGAGCTGACCTCTACAGGGCCTGTTTGTGAGAGGTATTCGCCTGTCTGGAAATGATGTCTCTTCTGCTATGAACTGGACCTCTCCTTGCCCGCCCAAATTCAATCCGTGGAATTTCTATGACGTGCATAAGAACCATCGATTACACTACGTTGAGCTCCATGCCCAAGTCCAAGGTCTTCTTGTGTGCTGTGCCAACGGTAGCACTGTCGGAATCCACGGCTTCTCGGGTACGTCCAAACCTTTCAGGGATTTCGTCGACTTTATGCATGGACGCAGGGCTACGAGTTACAAGCACTGGATTTACTTCCCATTGAATGGACAGGAGGCCATTACAGGGGCTTGGATCCGGAAGATTAAAGTCTGCCGTGGATCGGCCTCCCACCCTGTCTTAGTCGTAAGTCCAACATTTCTCGTTCGGTTTCGATCACTCACCGGCCAGTTGCAAACCTCCCTAGGAAGAGCCGTCACATTCGGACCCCATTATCCAGCCCGCATTATCGATCAGTACGAGTACCATCCTTTGCTTCAACATGGTGATGGACCCATTTCGGGGATATTTCATGATGGACTAGATCCAGTTTCCAAGTATATCTCAGAGTTTGGCGTTACCTGCAGTGACCTGGGCCAGGCCGATATCCGAGAACCGCCCCCTGTGGGCTCTCGCTTTGAGCCCCCGCCAATTCCTCCTGGTCGAGGCTCCATTATCACCACCTGGTACATGACAAAGGCCCCACTAAACGGTCTCGTAAGAGTGCAGGCCTGCAGGGACCAAGCACAACCACATCGCCCGTACCTAGGCCTTCTGTTATTCTACAATGACCAGCATGTCGAGTCCCTAGGACAAGTCCGCTGGGACCTTGATATGAACCAGGAGATTCTGAGCCCGATGTACGTTCGGAAAGGGATCGTTGATGGTCGGAATTACGTCAAGGACATCCAAAGCGACAGCCCACCCTCGGGACCAGATTTAGAGTCAGGGGAGTGGCAAAGGCTACCGGGGCAGGGCACTCTTGTTTGGTGGTCTGGTCATGTTGGTGACGTAATCTCGATATATGATAACCAAGAGCCCTGATGCATTGTTTCTTCAAGACGTGCCTGGAGCACGCAGAAAATGGTTCTCTACCCTGATCTCCCGTATGTGTACGGAATCACGGACATTGAACGGCTTACATGACTGGTGGCGCAGCTCTCATTGCCTGAACGGCTCGCTTGATCAGGCTCGCATCCGAGGAGTGTACCTCAATGTACTGATCACGTTCCGCTAAGTCTTCCGAGCCGAACAGAGGGGACAGGTAGTCATCTTCTGGACGGCACCGCCATGCTCTCCCCTTTGTTCCAAACGATGTGAACGCATACACAAACTGCAAGTCCGGGTGTTCGCCCAGGTACCTCATACAAGCGTCGTATGCTGGCCTCTCGGCGTCTTCCACGTCCTGGGGTCCTGCACTCAATGCCTTAGCTTCATGAAAGGCAAGAACTGCCAGGTTCTTATCACTCCCCATGTATTCGATGGTGATGTCTACCCGTCGGCGGCCATTTCCCTCCGGGGGAGTCTCCTGGGACACCACCCAGCTTTTGTCCACGAAGAAGTGTTTGACCCAGAGGTGGCTCCACAATTTGGCCGAGGCCCATTCATTTGATGGCTGTGCCTGGGCCTTCTCCCAAAGCCTCAAGAGGATCTCGTCGGTGATGAGCGACATGGTCTGTCATATATTTCTTGACTAGGACGGTACAGGAATCTGTTACATTTCAGTCACCAAATAGGTTTGATTTAAGAATATCAGCCTCAGTTGCCAACTTACCGGTAGGTGCTACAACAAACCAAGTAACAAACAAGGGAATCAGAAAAGATGCGTCGTCATGAAAGTAGGACGCTTGGTGTGTAGGCATCCACCCAGGCAGAAGAGCCTGTTTCGGATGCTAGTCTCGACGTGTGTGTGACGGGCTTGTCGGGAATGGCGGAGTAGGGCCGTGCGGAAGAGTTGGGTGAGGGGTGGTGTTAGGGCCCGATTCACTCCTCATGCTAGATGAAGTACCCAACTGCTCATTGCGCCTCGCACTGCCGCAGGAGCCAATCAATCCGGGCACCTGGTATGAGGTTGCCTGGAGCACACAATCAATGATACGCCAGGAGAGAACAGAATCAATACCGCTATCATTACCAAACGTTGACGCCGGCATGTTCTAACACTTTCCTACGTGAGTTGCCTGTAAACAGAAATTGGTCGTGGTCCTGGAAGGCATACATGACGTGCAAAATACTGGGACAGGCAAGGCTGGTGTTTCTCAACTTTGGGTCACATCATGCTCCTGAACCATCGTCCAGAATTGGGAGTCGGTTTCAATTCGCGCCGGATCCTCCTGGAAGAGCGGGGTTGCTGGGCGGCTTGCCGCCGACAACAGCCTTGCGTCCACCACCGGCATGCATGGGATAGTACCCTAGGGACTTCATTGCTCCTGCCTGATACGCTACGCCTCTTGATCGGACAGGCGCTCGCACGGACCGCCACCACACCCCCCCAGGAAAGCCTCGCCCTTCGTCTGCTTAGCGCCAACTGCACAGGCTGAGTCTCATCTTGTCCTCCCCCAACCATCATTATTGGACTGGGTTTCTTTACTGAATATCCTGTTTAGCCGGATGAAAGCGACCCGCATGCGAGAAGATACCAGTCCTGCCAGGCAGAGTTATATCTAGCGCCATCAAAGCCTGTGACAAGGTCTCCCAGCATCATATAAACCAGACTTCCCCCAGTTGTTCCCCTTCTGTAAGTGACTAGAAATCACCACATCACCTTCCTCGACACGACACACTTGCGTTACAATGGCAAACCAAGTTTCTTTACTGTCTTACTTGCAAGTTGCCCTACCAGCCATTCCGATAGGCCTCAATGCAAACCCGGGTCGCAACACGACGAACTCAGAATACGAGGCCAGTGACATCAAAAGCACTGCAGCCTGGCCAGAATTCAACTTGAACACCATCCTTCAACAATACCAGCATATCCTTCAGCAGTGTCGCCTGCCTGGGGATTTTATACCTACCTCTCGCCCGCGAGCGATCACGGCGGAAAATGCCCTGCGAAGTAAAATCTCAGAATATGTGATACCGAAGATACGGCGCAGCCTCCGAGTGGGTTTTGCCGGCTTAGCTGCATTCAACCAAATGAACGGCATAACAACTGTCTCCTTTGATGTCGGAGAGCAGGCACAGAGGTACGGTGCTACAGGCGACCTCTGCATCACTAGGATATCACATTGAATTGTCTGATGAACCCGATGCCATCGGGGAACACACCGGTCCTTGCGGTCCGGTCACGTCACGTGATCTCGTGATAATCCTACGCGAGTTGGCCGAGCCTCCCTCCCTTGCTTGCTGCCACCGGCGGCAAATCCCAGGGATCGAGCCTCCTGTTATCCAGACCTGTACACTCGGACTTCAACCGTCTAGCGTACGGAAACATGGAGTTCGATGATGTTCAACCGTCCGAAATCGCCTTCCAAAAGAAGCTTTTTTCGTCGAGGTTCTCCGTCATATTCCTCGTCGTGGTGCGAAACGTGACCTGTGTCATGAAGGTGGTAAGTCAACTCGGTCCAGGACCGTAACTCCTCGACGTCTCGCTGATCTAACGCGGCATCATGGGCGGGGCCCTCGGAGGTATTATGAACCGGATGATCGTGAATTGGACATCCATGTCATGGAATCTACTGCCTATCATCGGTTGAAGGCTGCCGGAGTTTGTGACCGTGGCCTGGTGCCGGACTTTTTCGGATCGATGAGAAAGTTTGACCCTGCGCCATACCAGCCACATCTAAAGATGTTCATGGAGGATGAATATCCTCCCAGTGCGATCTTCTTGGAGTATATACCGAACCTTGAGATGATCACCATTCACAACTACACGCCCCAACGGATGGAGAATCTGATTCGAAGTATCAAAGAGATTCACAAGGCATTTGTGCTGCACCACGACCCGAAACCCCGGAATATGATGGTGGTCAAAGATGACCCTGAGCGGGTGATATGGTTGGATTTTGATCGAGCAAGGACCTTTGATGGGGACCTCGTCACGGATGCCCAGAGGCAGTTATTGGACGAGGAATTGGAGATGGTGACATGCTTGCAGCAGCTTCTGGTAAGTATGGACTCTCCTCATAGACCTAAGCCAAGATCTAATTGTGTTCACAGGAAGCGGACTGCAAGAAAGGGAGACTGGAAGAAGCATACATTCTCTACTGCACTTGATGATGCCCCCCTGATCCAGCAGGGCAGGGTGAATCCTATTTGGGTCAGTGTAGATTAAATAGACTGATTTAATAACCTCTTTGTTTCCATTAGTTTCGCCATTTTTTCCTGTAAGGGTCTTCCACCTCTTCATCAAAGCATGTGAACTATCGCAACCATTGTTAACATCGCCAGGTTCAGTCGGCCTGGCTCGCCCATACAGTCCGACCTGTTCAATCGAGCTAAACCCGTTGTGGTATAGTCTCCCTCCCTTGCATCCTCCCTCCCTTCACCTTTCCACTCCCTCATCTCAGCACACTTCATAGCCGCAAGTTTTGAGCACTCAGAAGTAAACGGGAGACCGGAATGTTTCCGATTTTGACGAGACGTGCAGGGATACGACATTCTCAGCTAAGGGCCCAACTGTCCATCCTATGTCGCGGTAATTGCGCGCTAGAGGATACTGCATTGCTTTGGGAGTATTTACTAATTACATGATCAGGGAAATCCATCGTTCGTGAGGAGCTGTTTGCTTATACTAATGGGCACTTCCTCGTTGACGAACAGCGGCAGCTGGGTCGACGTTACGTGAAATTCGATGTAGATGCCCTGTGCCATGTTGCTGCCGCTGTCGGGGGCGATTCTTCCCCAATAACAAGCATTGAGAAGATGGAAGGTGGATTCAGCAAGGCTCTGCTGATGAAGAAGGAAAACGGAATAGAGGTCATTGCTAAGATTCCCTGCCATATCGCGGGACCGGCAAGCCTAACCACGGCATGCGAGGTGGGCGTCTTAGAATACGGTACGCCTTTCCTTTCTTGATCCTTCTATTCCTCTCCGTCATCTCGCTACCGCGCTTTCACGTCGCTTATACGACCTGCGTAGTTCGCAAACATACCGGCATTCCAGTCCCTCGGGTGCTTTCGTGGTCCTCGGACAGTTCGGATCCGGTAGGCGCCGAATACATCATAATGGAGAAAGCCGCAGGGGTTCCATTGTTCCAAAAATGGCCTAGCATGGCCGAGTTCGACAAATTAGAGCTTATCAAGAACTTGACCAAGCTTGAGGCTCAATTATCGGCTATTCGCTTCCCGGCGTATGGGGGGTTGTACTTGCGAGCTGATGCCCGGGACCCAAAATACCACTATGAAATGCTCGATAGCAGTATTGATGCATCTCATACATTTTGTATCGGGCCCTCCTGTGACCGTTCATTCGACGTTGACCCAGCTACGAACCCTACCCAGCCGAACATGGACAGTTACCAAGGGCCTTGTGAGTACCCTAGACTTCGTTTATCGCTGAAGCTAACAAATTCCCAGGGACCACGATATCACAGCTGGGTATATCCATAGCAAAGCGTGAGGTATCTCGGATCCCACCCAAACAGTCGGATAGACCGCCCATGTTTTACCACGGGAGTGTCGAAGAACAGATTCAACTTTTAGAATCCACTATAAGCCTCATGCCCATGCTAGACTCCCTCCCAGAACTACTTCAAACTAGCCAGCCCACATTGTGGCACACGGATCTCCACATGGGGAATATATATGTGGCGCCCGATGACAGTACCCGGATAGTGTCGATCATCGATTTCCAGTCCGTATCAGTAATGCCCGCATTCCTTCAGGCACGGTGGCCTGAGTTCCTGAAGCCTCCACAGGACTATACAGAAGGGCTTGTGCACCCGCAGCTCCCAGACGGGTTCGAGGACATGGACGAAGAGAACAAGATACTTGCTCGGCGAGAGTGGTCTCAGGCAAAGATGGCAAAAGCATATGAAATCTCCACTTACCTTGAAGACCGGCCTGCGCACAATGCAAGACATGTCCGGCGGGTCTTCCGAGAGCTCTTTACTCGCTGTGGAGAGGTTTCTGAGGTGGGGATTATCCCACTGCGAGCTTGTCTCATCGAAATTTTCCAGAACTGGTCGAGCCTAGGCTTTACAGGAACATGTCCATTCACTTTCACCGCAGAGGACATCGCCACCCACGAAGCTCAGATCCCTGAATACCAAGCTTGGCATGAGGCTCAACGCCTCGCTCAGGACTGCCTAGACACGGATGCAGAGGGATGGGTAGCACCCCAACTGGATTTTGCAGAGAAGCGAAGACAGAACCGTGAGCTGTTGGCCATGTTTATCGAGCGAATGGCGGGTGTAAAGTCCCCAGAGGAAGCGCGAAAGATGTGGCCATTCCCAGATGAAGCAGACCTCCTTGACAGGAAAGTGACAAGTGAGAGTAATGGATATATCTCCCTGGACCAGGACTGATGGCCAGGCCAGTACTCCCAATGCAGTTTAGTGCAGAATATCCCAAAACAACACTAGTGTCAACACTCTTAGTCATCTCGCGCTAGCCAAATCAAGCATCCCCGCACAAGCGGGGAATGACCTCATCCCACCCCAGCCATCCCAGCATTTCTCCAAGAAAATCAAGAATGGATTACTCCACGAATATACCATCTCAATGACAGTGGCCCGACATCCCGAGAAGACACCATGGCTGGCCTTACATCGGACATACCATGGATCACATCCTGAGCCCGATCCAGCACGGGGCTAGCCTCCCACCAGACGGAGATAGGATCTGAGTCGGGCTATGCGGCTTTAGCACACGCGTATCCCATACCATCGATCTCGTACTCCTAACAAAGCCATAATAACATTATAAAAAGCTACCAAAATGTATCAAACACCTCCACCACCCCTAAACACAACACACCCATGCTCCACCCACAATATCCACTACCCGCCAAATCATCCTCATCACCGGCGCCAACAGCGGCATCAGCTACGACGCCGTCAAAGCCTTCCCCCAAAGTCCCATCCCATATCACATTCTCCTTGGCAGTCGGAACCCGGAGAAAGGCACCAAATTAATTACATCCCTACAACCAGAATGTCCCGAAACCACCAACCCCGTCGAATCCATCACCATCGACTCAACCAGCGATGAATCTATTGCAGCAGCTTGCGAGCATGTCTCGTCCAGTCCTAGGTCGGCTGGATAATTCTGATTAACAATTTCAGGTCCGTCCCCGCCTCTTCTTCACCAAAGGCCTCTCGCACCTCACCCTCGCCAGCGAGAATTGCTTCCCCACACGCCCGCAACCACCCAGCTGGCCCAAGGTCATCGAATTCGAAACGATCGGCTATCGATGTGGGGAGGGTGTGTGTGTACTTGGTTTGGGGGAGGGAGGTATACTACATGAGGGTGGGAGGAAGAAGCTCTATTGCAAAGTCATCAGTCATGTATATACAATCTAAATCTCTCTCTTGGATGGATCAGTGCGGACTATCCTCATTCGAATCAAAGTGCTCCCGCGCCCACGGGCTCCTCAACCGAATCGCCCGGCCCTTATAGAAAAAGATAAACGGAATCGGCACCAGCAGAATGGCAATGAACCCCAGCAGACTGGACGCCCACTCGTAATCCAACTTCTCGTACATCTGCGTGGCAAACAGGGGAAACCCCGCGCCCACGATATTCCGCACGAGAATCACGCCCGCTAGGGCCGAGGCCGAATACGTCTGGTAGCTGTCGACGACGTAGTTGAGGATACTGAGGATCACAATGTAGAGACCCGCGCCGAAGAAGGAGGACGCGATGATGGGCACGATCCAGTGCACGGAGCGATAGCTGGTCCAGCCGAACCAGAAGAGACTGATCGGGATCAACAGCGAGCCGCCCCGCGCCATCCACATGCGCGCTTCCGGGACACTGCGACCGCTGTTTTCGGCCACGCGACGGAGGTAGTAGCGCTCCTGGAGCGGGGACAGGGCAAAGGCGATGATCGGGCCGATCGCCATCCCCAGGAAGCAGAGACCTTGCTGGCCGACGTTGAAGCCGTGGCCGTTGGGGGAGCCGAAGACGAGAGGGAAGGCTTCGTTGAAGAGGTAGACCAGGCCGTAGAGGAAGCCGTTGTAGATGGCGGAGAAGGTGGTGATGGGCTCAGTGAACAGGAAGCGGAAAGGACGGGTGAGGGTGATACCGAACAGCTGGTGGAGGCCCTTCCGGTCATCGGCATGGAGGTCAGTGGTCGACTCGGCCGAGCGCAAACCTTCGCGTTGCATCTGCTTGCGGATGCGCGCGGTCTTGCGCTGCAGGATGATGCTGTGGCGGGTTTCTGGGATGGTTAGGACCAGGGCAATCCATACGCCACCGGTGATGGCCATCATGATCCAGAAGATCCAGTGCCAGTTGAGGTTCAGACCGATATAGCCGCTGATAACCAGTGCCATGGGCGGGCCAAACGTGCTGCTGAGCCCGTAGAATGCCATGGGCCCACCGCTGCTGTTACGCTCCCACAGATCGCTAATTGTGCCGCCGGTGTTGGTCAAGGGCGCGCCGCCGGCGAAGCCCGCGATGAAGCGGCACACGATGATCGTGCCAATGTTCGGAGCCAGCGCCAGAGGCATCTGGAAGAGGGACATGATGAACCAGGACACGATGTAGATGGGTTGGCGGCCAAAGTACTCGGACAGTGGTGCCAGCAACACGGGTCCGATGGCATATCCCAGTACGTACATGGACAGACACAGAGTGGTGACTTCGGTGGAGACGTGGAAATGCTCGGCGATGCCGGTAGCACCGGACGAAAACGAACCGCAGGACCAGGTGCTAGCGGTGGGTTAGTATGGTCGATGCACAGGCGGAGCCGAACACTTACGTCACAACATTCAGCATGCTGACGAACAAGGTAATGTACCATTTGCGCCAATAACCCCAGCAGCGAGGGTTGTCCCGATCCTGGGGACCAAAGGTGATGCGTAACGGCAGGGCTACCTCAGGTTGGTTCCTGGCCCGAGCCAGAGCCTCTTCCTCGGTGACCACCAACGGCAGAGTCTCGCGGTGGGAATCCGAGGTCTCATGCTTCTGATCGGCGGTAGCGAGCAAATCGCCAATGTGAGTTTCCTCGGTCATGGTCGCGGCGACAGCAGAAACAGGAAGACAGATTCAAGACGAAAACAATAGCACCCAGAGCGACCGGTCCCGCGGGGAAGAAACCAGTTAAAAGAACCTGGGGGACCGGCAGGGGAAAAAGGCAAGCATGCCTCGTGACGTTTCCAATTGCCATGGCCAACTCCACTGTCGGTGATGGTGCAGCTGGTCTGCCAATAAGACGGGCCGGCCATAAGCTTCGACTCCAGGTTTCCCCATCTCCTCCATGGCTCGGGGCACGACCGAGCTGATTAGACGGTCCGGTGTCGGGTGGGAGGCAAGCTTTGCGCGCCAGACCAAGCCTCGGTCAAGCTTTGGGGCGCCGTGTGTCCCGGGCGAGGGTTCCAGAAACTGGGCCGATAAAGGCGGCCACTCCGGACTTTACTGGATGGCGGCTAGTGGTCCTGCCGCACCCCACGCCGCGCTCCCCGTGGAGTTGCCCTCATTGATCGTGTTCTGGTTCATCAGGCAGGATTGCCGACCGGCTGTTCCCTTTGCCGTCATGACGCTGGCCCCGGTGAGCTCATTCAGCCTTGGACAGCGCCATCTCCCGCCACGTGCAGTAAATGGCTGGACTTTTGACTTTCGCTGTCGCTCTGACCTGGAGCTTAAATCTCCGGCCTGATTGCAAAATGTAAATATCCCGACACACCCTTAATGTGTGGCATTTAGACGAGCCGGCTACGGCAGCGGATTGACCTGAACCTCAACAATGTGTCACTGCCATGTCCCAGGCTTCGACACATTTAGGCTAAATTCCGCCAACCCCAAACCGCCCCGGTTTGAGGGTCGCCATGTTGGAGACGCGAATGGAGTTGGGCCCTCTTTTTCCCTCCCCAAGATGCGCTAGTCCGGTCCCCGCGGAGAACCCATTTATGAGACCCGGTGAATTCTCCCGGCCGATATATCGCATCCACCACGGTCGGCTCATGGCGGGTCTCCAGGCCGACCTGGTCGGCATCTTGACCCCGTGTTCACCCATGGCACGGCCGGATGCCCTCCACTACACAGTACGCATCATGCAACGCGCTCAGATCGGTGCCGCCTCCTCAGTAATGATTGGGGTCAGCCATGCTCAGCTCGACCATGTCATCCCGCACCTAGCTGGTTAGCTTTTGCTCGTGCATACCTAGCCCACTGGCGGCGCCCTCAGCCACGTCGCCGTCCAATGAGCGTGAATTCGACTGATTGAGCGGATGTGCCAGGTCGCTCTGGCTCACGTCTGACATGTCCATTTGCCATTCACCTGGAGCCAACCGGAGCTCGTAGGTGATGTTTCCTCTTTCTAAATGGCCATATTGCTCTGGTGGCTTGACCATGCAGCGCTTCGAGACCTTCGTCCTGCGCTCCGTCTTGTGCTTCATGCACCTGTCTCAGTAGCTGGGGCTGCAAGACAGACCCCGCGGCCGGAGTCTGGTCGTCTCGGTCGCTCATCGTCGCGGTGGGCTTGTCCTCTCTCTTTCCCGCCTCACAAGGTGCTGCATTTCATGGAGATTGACCGCCACATCGGCTATCACTCAACCGGAGATACGTACTCCCTGGAATTTAATTCCGCCCGCATTGTGTCTGATGCCGCCATTGTCTCCCTCGGAGGCTCTTTTTCGGAACCTTGAGACCTTTGTTGACTGTCGAATTCGAGCGAATGTACTTCATACAAACCATCAAGGAATTGACAGGATCATCGGGCCATTGAAGATGCATTGCCCATTTTCAGATCATCAGCTTGCTGGTACTGCCTTTGCTGGATTTGATGGCAACTCTACTTCAGACCCGAGGAGGCCTTGAAAGAGGCCACCCATCGACAGGACACATTCTTCCCCGCTTCCGCCATCTCTCCGGCCATCTGTGTCTCCTCGGGACTGTGCATAACGTTGTTTATGTTTTGTCGAGCCTAGCATCTACCGTCATAGTGGAGGCGAATGCTAGGGTTGACAAGAGACCCGTACCTGGTGCGCCCTCCACGAGAACTGTACCCGACGTGAAACCGGGGATTTCCAGTCAACACGTTGACGGTTACATCTGTACATCCTATCGGCAGGTTCGGTAGTAGGGAGGATCGCACAGTTCGGGTACCTCAGAGTTCAATCTGCTCTGGTGGAACTGTATCATCTTTTTAGCTCATGGTGGATGGTCTCGCCATGCGATGGTTCACACGAGCTCCCAGGCAATGAGACCATCACCCTCACGGAGTTAATCCACGGATGAATTCAACCCCGTTATCCCGTTCCCGTGAAGAAAATGATACAAGCATGCGATACCAACTGGTCGAATTGGTGGTTGTTGACGGCGTACCTGGTTATATAAACCCCCTTCACCCGCGAGATGGCAGCAACAGAGGCACAGCGCAAGGAAAATAACACACCACACAACAATTCACTGACACCAAGATGCGCTTCGCAATCGCCAGCACCGCGTTTCTCACCCTCCTCACCTTTGCCACCTCCCATGTCATCAAGCGGGACATCGACACTGTCCTGGGTGACATTTCTGCCGTGAACACCAATCTAGGCACTCTCAACGCTGCCGTGCATAGCTACAGCGGTGGATTGCCGGCTGCGCAGGAAATCCAAACCCAGGAGACTGCCGTCGAAAAGGCCCTCGAGCAGGCCGCGACCGACACCAATGGCACGGCGGTGTTCACTAGTGTTGAAAGCAACACGGTGACCGAAGCGCTGATCGCGTTGGAGCCGGTCATGCGGAGTTCAATCGCCGCACTCGTCAACAAGGTAGGATTCGGAACCCTTTTGCCTTATGTCTTGTGGCTTGTATGTACTGATCTCTTGCATTAGAGAACCCTCTTCGTCTCTGCCGGTGTCGGCGCCACGGTCCGAACTAATCTGCAGAACCTCAAGAGCCGGACCGATAGTCTTTCCGTGGTGCTGCAGAGCAAGGCAACCGGCCCTGACCGGGAAACCATCCGCCTGGGGACTGGGGACGTTGATGATGCTTTTGACAGTGCCATTGATGCCTATGAGCCCCAGTGGTGAGGATGAAGCCTGGCTGATGGTGATAATGAGAAGTCTTGTGGGGGCCAACACTGGTGTGAGAATGGTCGGAGAGAGCATAGTTAGCAGAAATAGCAAGGTGTTGCTGGACCGCGACCGTGATCTCTGGTTAGGTGCGTCGTAGTAAACCTGCCGGTCGGCCCTCGGCGTGAAAGGGTACTGAGTGTTTCTTTGAGCGCGCCGACCGCTGAAACATCTCCTTTGCGTGCCACATTTTAATTTTAATTTAATCTACTGTGTATGTCCTGGGTCGTACGGTGAACCCGAAAGGAACGCGTACGCGGGAAGGCCCGGTTGCTCCGAGCCAGGAATGGCGATCACTGGGCGAATCTCTGGTCCGTCCCGCTCAGGGACGCTGGGGCTGTTCGGCAACCAATGATGGCTGGCAATGGCATGTATAGTCTGGAAACTACTTCCTGCCCGCGTTGCAGGCTTGCAGCATGTTCACTAGTCTCGATCATGCTGATGAGACTGGCCCGAGGCCCGATGCGAGCGGGGTACGAGGTGGACACTAAAGGGGGTTCCGCTGCCTCAACGCTAGCCCCAGCAGATCTTTTTTTTTGACACTTCATCATTCCAGAGATTCCAGGTTCCATCGCCGTTCACCATGTCGTCTCGAGCTTCGCAGCATGAAAGAAACCATGGGTTCACCCGCTCCGCTGTCGTGATCATCGGCGCCGGTGTATCAGGTACAATATCCGATGGCCATAAGAGTTCATGGGCTGATCACCATCAGGCATTTGCATGGCGATCGACCTTCTCCGTCGCACACCCACTCGCAACATTATCATCCTCGAAAAAGGAAGCCGGGTGGGGGGAACCTGGGCTGATAATCAATATCCCGGTGCTGCATGTGACGGTCAGAAAAAGACTCACCATTACGGGAAATTGGAGCGGCTGACCGTCATCTAGTCCGCAGCTCGCTGTACAGCTTTTCATTTGAACAACGTTCCACCTGGACGGAGGAGTTTCCCCGTCAGGAGGAATTACTGGTACTTAGTCCTCTTCCAGCAGGGAGTCTTTATGGGCTGACGATTGCGCAGGCATATCTCACGGATGTCGCCCAGAAACACGGCCTCTACCGGTACATCCGGTTTAATTCGACTGTGCAGGAAGCGCGCTGGGACGACACTCAGCTGCAATGGAAGGTGCAGGTGGCACTAACTGGTGCCAAGGACAGTGAATTTCAAGAAGCATACGAGATCACCACCGACTTCCTCGTATCTGCCATCGGTCAACTCAACGTCCCTAGTTATCCCGAGATTCCGGGCCTCCATGACTTTACCGGCAAGTTGATGCACTCCGCCCGATGGGACTGGAGCTATGACTTTGCAGATAAACGAGTGGCTGTCATCGGCAATGGTATGTCCCCACGCATGTTTTGGACCTCCGAGACTGATGAGGATAACAGGCGCCACCGCGGTTCAGATTGTCCCCGAACTGGCCAAAACTGCCTCTCACGTCACTGTCCACCAGCGAACCCCGAACTGGATTTATGTACGCGGGAACAAACCCGTGTCTGCCTTGCAACAGTTCTTGCTCACTTATGTGCCTCCCATACGGTGGTGTAAGCGAGCCATGATTATGCAAATTAGGGAATGGTCGCACACTCCCGTCACGAACGCTGAATCCGGCCACGCTCACCAAGTCCAGAAGTGGACGCTGGCGAGGATGAGATCTCACCTACCGGATAAGCCCGACTTATGGGAGGCCCTGACCCCCAAGTACTCTCTCGGATGCAAGCGCGTCCTCTTCTGCGATGACTACTATCGGACTTTGAACATGAGCCATGTGGACCTCGAGACCCGGCCAATCCAGCGCATAACGGCCACGGGCATCCAAACGGAGGGGGGCGGGGACCAGGATTACGACCTGATTGTTCTGGCGAGTGGGTTTCGCTCGTTGGAATTCCTGCACTCCATCCGAATCTATGGCACCCATGGCCGACCGCTCGAGGACATCTGGAAGGGGGGCGCCACCGCGTACCGTGGCGTGGTGGCAGAAGGTCTGCCTAACTTTGGGATGCTGTACGGGCCTAATACGAACTTGGGTGAGTCTGGCGATGTACAATTGTTAGGTTGGGGAAGGTGAACTGACCGAATAGGCCACAACTCCATCATCTTGATGATCGAAGCACAGTCCAAGTATCTTAGCACATTGGTTGGGGCGGTTGTCGAAGCCAAGCAGAAGGGCCAGTCCTTGGCACTCCAGCCCCGACCCGAGGTGGTGCGAGAATATAACAAGCGCATCCAAGCTCGGCTGGCCAACACCAGCTTCGCGGATCCCAGCTGCCGTAGCTGGTATAAGACCGAGGACGGCCGGATCACGAACAATTGGCCGGGGTCGGCGGTGGAGTACCAGAAGGAGATGTCCCGGCTGCAGTGGACGGACTACCTCGTCGAAGGTAGCGGAGCGAAGGTTGTGGAGAAGAAGAAGGCAGTGTATATAGGTCGAGTTCAGGAGGAGCTGCCCGTGAGCACGGCGACCTTGGTTTTGGGACTGGTCCTGGCGGCCGGAGGGTGGTATCTGCGCCGCACGGGGTGGAGGTGGTAGGTCAGAATGCACCTAGCCGCAAGCATTTCATCCAGTGGGCCCCATTTGTGTATTTAGTAGTGATCAACTACGATGGTTCAATGAAGAATGAGAAATGGGAGAAAGAAGAGCGAGATGGTCATGCCTGACTGTGTAGATGGCGACCGGCACGTGACGGGTCGGCGTTTCTCCCCCCTCCCAAAGGACTCCTCCTCTATGTACATAACAATATCCGCTTGGCTGCGTTGGCTAACTGAGATTTCGCCCGTCCATCTAGCGGAGCATTGCGTGAACTGGTACTTTTGATGTGTAACCCACCATGGCTTTAGACTGTGCTAGATTCAGCAAGATCATCATACGAGAATTCAAAGCTGGCAAACCTTGTGAAAAAAGTCCTGTAGCCTTAATTTGTAGGCCAAGTGTTGGCCTCAAAATGCCTTGTACAATACATGTGACAACAGTATTGGGCAGAATCGATGATGTCATACTTTGCGAGGGCATTCTCGGCAGACGTCATTGCACTCGAGCCCACGTTCAGTTATTTAGAGCTACCAAAGTGCTTGTAGCTTGAACTATCAGGTTTCAAGAATGATCCATTTGTTGCTACTGTGAGTTGACTTCACTATCCATTAGAAATGATTCATCATACAATAAGACCTATCATTTGCTAATCTTGGTAAGTTGATTTCTCAAATGCTGATAAGTACAATTCTGAATTCCTTTTTATTTACAGGCAATGATTGTTGAGCAACCAACAAGATTCAGTTTCCAGAGCTCTTAATTGGAGGATGAGTCAGAGCAATATTTCCTGGATTCAAGTACTGCTTTCGAGTTGTTTGGAAGTTACCTTTTTTTCAGTAGCTACCAAATGGATCATTTTTGAAACCTAAGCTCGTCATACCATGATGCCATGGGACAGAACCATCCAACCCAGTTGAGAATGAATCCCGTCCAGGAGACAAACCACCACCGCATCATGTTGATTCCGATATCCAAATACGGACTCAAAGTGACGCTCGCCGTTGCACAGCATGTCGCCAGTGTGTAGCTGGAGGAGGATACCCAAAGTGGTCATGCCATACGGTTGTCTCGTTGTTCGGCCATATCTGGTAGTGAAAGTCCTCGGCGCCGGGTATACTCGGATGTACCATTTCAATTTTCAAGACTTTTGGCCCTAATTTGCCTTTCAGGATTGGCTCCTCCACGATTTGGTAGTTTGATCCGCCGAAAGGGTTATATAGGTCAGGAGGTGGCGGTGTTAGGACAGTAACTAGTCCTCCGTCTTTAGCAATATGATAGGCGTACATAGCAGATGCACCCTTCATATATCGACTCCACCCTTTGCTTGACTTTAGGGACCATAAACACCGTGCGTGATCATGAACCATCAGCGGCCCCATAACTGTTGTCAACGTCTGCATACCGTGTTGATCTGCCCAGGTCTGCACCAAGTTACGGGGCACACCGCTCCACATAACTTGACATCCAGGCTGCCATATATCGCTGTGGAAACGGCTGCAGATTTGGGTTGCCTCCCCGATAGTGAGAAAGTTGTGGAAGTTCTCCAATGTCTCTGGCGAGCACATAGATATGACTCGTTGTAACAATTCAAAAGACGTGGGTGAACTCACAGAGTTGACGGGAACTTCGCAAGAGATCCAGCCATGCTAAGTTGAAATATGCGAAAGACGAAATTATTATATCACTTTTACGTAGAGTCCCGTGAAAGTAGTCTGCGTACTGTCCTGAGTTGGCCCAAGCGGTTTTAATTGACCGCCTCCTCAAGTAGTAATTTGCCAGGCAGAAATGGCCTCACTAAGCCTGTATAGGCAGTAATCAGGCATTAATCATAGGATGACAAAGAGACATTAACGTTACGCAGTCTACTTTCCTTCCACTGTATCTTTAACTATAGAGAAGTCGAACACTACCCTTGCACAGATGAAAACTTCTTATCGCCACGTGCATCTTCCGAATACATGTGCTGAGATGGTTTTTGGCTTCCATATAGTACATCTCACATCATCTAAAGCACCCTACGGTATTGTCCATTCCGATTTTCATTTCACAGGTAATACAACACTGCTTAATGATTGGTGCATAGGCAATTTCTGTAACAATCTGTACGCAGGGCCGGCTGTCAGTAAGAAAGACTCCATGCCAAGGCGCCTGCCCCCCACCCGGGCGCCCGTCTACTCTGCGCTTACAGCTTACTTATCTTAGGCTACACAGGTCATCTTTGTGTTGCGATATCAGTTCATTAGGTGAGATCAAATCAAGCAAGGTGATAGTCTGTGTCTGACCTCAACTGGAAACCAAGGAGAATGCGTACATTCCTGCAATGTATGGACGAGTAAATGCTTATTTATCGCGTTTCTACCAAGCTATTACTGTGCGCCACTTCCAAGTGACGTAGAATGCCAGTCATCATTATCACCCTGGTAGCTTTCTGTAAAGTACTGTGAGATCATTTCGACCTACCCTCAACTCCCTATCAAATCTCTCATTTCCTCTGTAATTCAATTCAAAACCATTAGGCTTGCTATGCCAAACAATGGACAGTGAATTCAGCAAGTAAGTCACTCGCAAATGCAGCATTTTACTCGATAGGAAAAAGCTTATCTGACCAGGTGCCTCTCGTCCTCCCTTTTTACCTTTGTGGTTGGCCAGGAGAGGAAAGAGATTACCGTGCACTCTAGATCCCTGGCCAACCTATCTTCCCCTCTCAATAATCTCATGAACGGTAAAATGCAGGAGGCAAACAGACGTCAAGCCGACTGGTCGGGGGTCGAGGAAATGACATTTGTTCTGCTGTGTGAGTACGCTTATACGCGCGACTACACGCCGCCCTCGTGCTCGAAGAGAGAAATCCCACAGCCACCAGCTGAAACTGAAGACAACATTGGTGGTGAGTTGTCCTCTTCACTAGCATCACGGTCAAAGGACAAGCGAAGGCATAGAATCTGACGCCTGGTCTCTGTGGAAGCTAAAGAAGCAGAGCAAGCCTCTGATCAGGCTAGCAATGCGGCAACGGATGCAGCAACGGAGCAAGAGACAGCAGCTGTATCGGATGCACCAGCTGAACCAGAAACTCCGACTGAACCAGAGATTGTGGATGAACTCAAGGCAGAGGCAACGCCAGAGGCAGAGCAGTCAAGTACTCATTTCAGCGGTCATACTTTACCGTACAGAGAAAAGAGTATCTGGACACAGCACCTTCAAGACAAGTTTAAAACTCTCAGCGTGCAGTATACAAACTCGCACAATTGTGCTTTATCAGCTCGGAAAGACGTATTTGCTCCGAAAGGGAACTCTCACCCTTGGGAGGATTTCACCCCCGTCTTTCTTGCACATGCAAAATTATACATCTTAGCTGATAAGTACTGCATTCTCCCCCTCGCAGACCTGGTTCTGTATAAGCTGGAAACAACGTTAGCACAGTTTAATCTGTGTGAAGAGAATATAAGTGATGTGACTGAACTAATCCGATTCTCTTATCAATGGACACGGCCCAACGACGCTCTGAGGTTGTTGATCACCACCTATGTTGTATCAGTGCTTGGTCAAATAGGCGAAAATACTGAGTTTCAAGAGCTGCTAATGGATGGCGGATTTTTTGTTCTTGATCTTTGGCAAATGATGTGGTGCTGAAGTGATACCAAACATACATACGAACGTTTTCGATTGTATGCGAAAGCAACTTGACGTGCTTACTGACTGACCGTACAGAATTTGAATGTGATGTGTAAAATGTATGCTCCACATTTAGCCAAGACGACAGGGCTAAACCACATTTAGTAATTCTCTGGAAGGCTACAATCGGCATATTACATTAGAAGGCCGAGATAACGGTAACGTGTAAGAAATCCGTAGAGGTTCCCTGCACTGGTAACGATACGGCTGGAAGATTCTATGCAAATATAACAAGCTTGTATTACCCCAGGTCGAGAAGCCTGCTGATCGCTGATCGAAATGTGTCCAAATAAGAGGTGTCCACGTCTCACGAGCCTGGCTAGTCGGTTAACTCGGCATACATCAGCTACCTAGTGGATGCGGGAAATGAGATTTACTCGAGACATAATAGCTGATTGAGATTGATGCTGTATTCATAGATGAGTAAGGCATAATTACTAGCTACATATCGGGTATACGCACGCCGGTAACCTCCTTTACAATCTCAAGAGAATTATCTCGCTAAGTGTACAATTACAATCAAACATTGTTACCCCACTTCGCTGAGTTATAGTCACCGTCACCACTACAAAGCCTACCAAGCGGAATAACAATGCATGGAGGGCTGATTTAGAATGTCTGTCTCCAGATTGTGACAAGTCAAATCAGTCAGTCTCGCTTCTATGCCGCATAACCTGATGCTGCTTATCGTATCCTGATAAGAAATTGAAAAAGAGGGAAACTTACTCCCCCGCCGAGATAGGGGTCCTAGTCTTCTCCGGTACGTACAGTGATGAATATATTCAAAGTTTCAATTAGCTTTGATATCGATAGAGCTGCCAGATACCAGTGATTTCTGTTGATGCCTAGGCAAGGCTCGACTCATTTGACCTTGTCCCCGCACGACCTCAAGCTTTGGAAAATATCGGCAAACTCCACATTCTTATGTCCAGCACGCCTGCGACGAGCGACTTCCCCCGCCAGCTTGACGGTGAATGTATTGTGCGGCGCTGACCTTGCCGCCGGTGTCTGTATGCTCGTCGCCGCTATCACTTCGACAATTCGATTCGGGATGATCGGAGCTCGAGTCGCTACGTGCGCGTAACAACAATCGAGAATGATCAAAGCATCAATACGCTCTGCGGAGCAGACTTTGATATTGTTGAGCAGAGCGTGGTCGGCATCGAGGGTTTTCTTCGCTGCTCTGGTTTCAGCGAAGGTAAATGATCCACCCTTCCTCATGCCGTGGCCGGCATAATGAAAGATCATCAGGTTGTGTTCGGTTGCAGACTTCGGCTCGCACTCTTCCATGAGGTCTAACAGTGCTTTCTGAGAACGGTTTACAGGAGTGGTCGGATCGTGGGGAATGATAAATTCGATGGCTGGTGAAAGATCTAAATCCTTCAACATCTTCTGGAAGCGCTCCGAGTCTTGAGCCGCGTTGGTATCGTCACGCTCCCATCGAGCGGTCATCGAATACACGTTGGTATAATCGCGACCGCGCTGTGCGGCGGCGGCGGCCAGTGTGTTTCGGAATTGGTCGAAAGTAATGGGCGCCATCTGTAAGGGTCCCCAGGATGTCAGAACCCACGTACAAGTTTTACAGGGGGAATAGGAAGCTTACAGAGTAAGCCTGAACGGGCTTGGGGGATCGAGATAATGTGAGTAAATGTGCGGAGTCTTCGAGTGGCTCCGACACGCACGACAGCCTGACAGAGAGAGGAGTTTCCAGGCTCTAGGATGCAGAGATTATGGGACTTACCTGGTGGGTTTGGAAACAGCTTGCTGCCGGTCCAGTCGTTGACTAAGGAGGGAACTTATGCAAAAGACTCGGATAGAGTGCTCGCAGGTGGATGACGTTGGAGATGGAAGACTTGAGGATGGCAGAAAATCTGGAAAAGGAATTTACAAGGAACGGAGAATGGGTGTGGTAGTAGTGAATATTGAAGTTGGTGATGGGGGAATTTTACTACAACTTTTCCATTCTTAACCAGTGAATAGAGCGGCACAAGTGATGTGAATCTGACCTAGGCTAGCTGGGGACAACCATGGTACTGCGTTGACTCACAGCATCTTAGATATCGAATATTGTCGTAAGTTTGTATCTGATAGTAGAAAATGCTTCATAGCCCGGGTAGTAAGCATTACAATCCTCCGAAGCTTCATTGTCTACTATATGATGAGCTGCTATGCAATCTAAAGCCTGGAGTCGTTCACCATCAAGTTGCCGAGTGGTGGTATGCAACTGTACTGCTAGACCACCTCCGTTGTGCACATACCCATATAAATGGGATTCCGCCAGTACTAGCTGCAGGTAATGATGACCCTTTTGGCCTCGTGGGAGCAACACCCTTGAAATATCATAACAGCAGACCACTAGAACCTGACAATGAGTTTCTGAATTCATCCAGACGATGGGTATGGCATAGGACTATCATTGTTATCAACTTTCTCAAAGCCTTTACTTGACCAATATGAGTTGTACATGTAGACAACATCAGCTTCAGCCGGCCTGGTGACTGTGATGGCCGCTACGGGAGGCCTGAAGCAATGGATTGGTGGTTCAGAATCCTAGTCTTTTGCCGGTAGCGTAGCTGGTAGGCAGGGGACCCTATTATTTCCGTAAATTCGCCCGCCTTCTTGCCAACGTCGACCCCGATACATTCGAGCTCCTTCCCTGCGAAGATGTGTGCAACGTTTACAGCGAAGAGTCCAACCAAGGCGTAATTCAGTTCGACCTCGTCTTTCGCATCCGGATGGCTGCTGCCCCCTTGGCGTTGGTAATGGTCTTTGCTAACCAGAAAGTAGATATTGTTGCAGATTGAAGATATTTCGGTCTAGCCTTGCCAGGTGACTGGTACCTTGGCTCCTTTGTTATAGCGATAGAGGCTCGTCTGAGATAGATATACCTGACAGCTGCATAGAGAAGTACTGTTCCGACAATGTGGGTAGTCACACAGTTTGTCCTGGTTGCAAGGGGTCAATGTCGGTATATTCCCTTCATCATCTCTTAAATAGGTATAGATACTACGCCCCCGGTGCCAATTCTGCAAAGGTAGCTGTCTGGGAGTGCGGTACGTATGCCTAGTCTCGCCTCCGAGCTTTCGCTGTGTGGTTAATGGCATGAAGCTCTAATAACCCATGTGACGTCGACCATATAATCAGCCATAGCGTACCTCGCATAACGCATGGCATCGTCAGCGGTGCATCGTTCGGGCCGTTCGATTGGAAATCCACTTAGAGGAATGACGATCGAGGGGCTTCTCCATCTTCGTGCGGAAATCCTAGTTGGAAATCAAAATCTGCCCTACTATTAGATGGCCTCCTTCAAAGCGTTCCAATTCCCTTTCTGTTTCACAAAGCCAAAGAAAGTGAGACAGATAACGGTTTCCAAGACAATTGTGATTAAAATAGCCTACGACAAGAAAGGCTCTATTGTTGGGAATGAAGATCAATGTGGCACAGCCGGAGCCGAGTCTTGGCTGCAGCTATACCGCCAAGCAAGCAAGCGCCACAGGTCGGAGATGCCTTGTCATTGCAGTGTCCCTGCAACATTCCGCCCGCCCTGTAACACGTGGGAGGGACCGGTCGGCAATCAGAAATTGTCCCGGGGCTGGGAACTTCGGCTGTGATTGTTCGCAGCCTCGCACAGTCAGACCACTAGGCGAAGATCATGGTGGATTGCTGACAGTGCACCCGCGTCTATCCCCGCAGCTGATGGAAGACCAATATGAGGTAATATCAGAGTCACTAGCATCTACGGCGTCCCGGAAGAACCTTGAGCTTTCTCTAACTCGCTCAGGGGAATAAGGAAGCGGACCGTCTCTACCTCGCCGAGCGCAGGATTCAAGATCATGCAGCTCAGTCATTGAGACACTTGTCTGCATCTGTCATGCCTACAGTCACGCCCACCACACCTGCCCAGATCCACTTGCACCCGTTAATAGCATTGAGAGACATTCGGGATTAAGATTTGAGAGACAAGTAGTGTCGGGTGGGACAGCGGTGCGCCAAGAATATCGTTCATTGTCATAGGCCTGCCTACCCGGAGGTTCTTCCAACATGAGCATACGGGCCCGGACAGGGGCTTGAGCCAGGAGATCAATCCCGACTAACGGTGGGGAGGGGACACTGCATCTAGTCCTCGGCAGAGGCAGGCAGCAAGTCCAATGAGCGGTTCTCGCGTCACCCGGAGGGAATCATGTCGTCGCTGCAGCCTGCAGCGGTGTATTTCACGGAAGACTAGGGCCGATGATGCAACTAGCGCTTCCTTGGACTAGATAAAGGGGCGGGGGATACCACACAAAGGTGAAAGCATCTTTGTGGCAATGTAACACTGGACTGGGGTGAGACAGCGGCCAAAGTGGCGGGACTGCCGTTGGCAGTTGGTTTTTGGTACTATGTCACGGGGATGAAACGGGGGGCAGACAATCAATTGAATAATAGGAATCGATGGAAGAAATGAATGAGAGATTTCTCTGGAAGCCAGAGGAGTGGAGCAGTCAGCCGTCCTCGCCCGGTCATTGGACAGTGCGGGGACTCCCCCCCGCTTGGGGCACTCAAAAAGGAATGTGGTCACGCTGGTGGCCATTTTGGGTTCATTGTCACCACGTGTTCCTAACGTTCTTTCAGGCCCAGGTCCAGGTGTCTGTACAGAGAGCTGAGTAGTAGGACCATCCGGGCTCTCCCGGGAAAGAGACGCTGTGAGGAGACAGTGTAAGGATGGCATGGACTGCAGCAAGTGCCTGAGGAGCCGGAACACACGACCGATAATTTATGTTAAGATTTCCCCTGTCTCAGACTGACTCCCAGGGTTTGCAGGCCTTGGCATCGCGGGTCTGATTGGTGCTGCGGGTGCGCCGCGGGTTCTAATTTTACTCAGCATGGGCTGGGCCACCAATAAGACCCTGGCGTGCGGTGGGGCATCAGGGTCCAGGGCCCTCAGGGTCCAACCCAAGTGCAACTCGTCCAGTAGTAAGAATCAGTCTGGATGCCCGGCAATCTTACTAGTCTGGCCCACGACGAATCAGCCCTCATTATTATTAGAGTTCGCCTGTGGTGTTCCAAAAATGCCACCGGACCGTGACGGTTGGGGTCCAACTGTCTGCCTCTAGTCCCGACTAACGACGAATGGTGCTGTCTCGGGGCTGTGAATGAGACTAGACTGCGGCTCTTCGGTGATTGCCTGGCACTGAAGCAATTCCCCCCTCTCAGGCCTCCATCATCATCATGATGGCGTCTCTCTTTCAGTCCCTATCCTTTTTCTCCTCTTCTTTCTCCCCTCTTTGACCGCGTTCCAGCTCCTCCTCCTGCACCCTTCTGACGGCTGCTTCCATCATCCCGGGTTTAACATCCCGGTGTGAGCCATCTCCGTCCAACCCACCTTTCATCGATGGGTGTAGACTCTGATCGGAGGTGCCATGCGGTCTGTCTGCTGCTGAGATACTGTGACCTGTGACACTGCTGCTGCACCATGAAGCTCCTCAACCCCCTCCGTCGCTGCGGCCCCGCCTTGCAGCGTCTGCGCACATCACCAGGCGACTTCTTCGACTATACCTGGGAGTTCACGCGCCGCTACTTTTTTACCGTGTCCTTTATCGCCCTCTTCGGCGCCAAATTGCTCCATCTCTACGCTCACATCCACTCCCTGCCGCCTCCCAAGTTCATGCTCTGGGGCACCACCTTTTTCTTCCAGGATGCGATTCTTACCCTCCTCATCCGCTTCTTCACACACAAATTCCACTGGCGTTCTGTGGCAGCACTGTCTGCTCTGGTGATTGTTCCCTTCAGGTAAGCAACGGGCTGACGTATGAATTGGGTGACGCAGATCAAGCTGACATCTGCAGTCTTATCATGTCCGGAATGACCGCCGCAAATACCTCCTTCTATATCGTGACCGGCGCCGAGATCCACTGGCGACAGGCCACCACCTTCCACCGCGATGCCGCCGCCATGCGCACACTGCTGACGGGATTAACCGGCTTCCTAATCGTCGAGGGCATTCTTCTCACCATGGCGTGGTTCCTGGCAGCTCCTTTACACCGGATCGTTGGCGGGATCCTCACTATCCTCGGACAGCCCTTCAAATGTCTGATGCGGTGCATGAGTGGTGTCCGGGCGCTCCGTCCGAGAACCGCCCCGCTGCCCGACCCCGAGGTCTACGAGCAGATTGCCGTGGATGACTACCTTGACGACAAGAGCGACGATGGCTCGTCCATCCAGCTGCTGGAGCCCTATGGTGAAGTGTCCCCCGTCAGGCGTGGCCATTCGCCCCTTATCAAGATGGCCGTCTGGATTCCGTTCTTGTGCCTCGTCCTGCTCCGCCTGGTTCGACCTTGGGATCCCGCATACATGTTCCTTTCCGAAGCTCTTCCCCTGGCTCCCTTTATCGGCGGTCATCGCCATTCCCCGGTCCGCGCAGGTGGCTTGCCAGGCGACTATGGATGGCTGGAGGGCCGTTCCACGTTGAACAAGTCCCCCAAATGGCATTGGTTACCCAAGGAGGGACTTCCCGGCTTTGACGATTGGAAGAAAGGCGACAAGCCCCGGCTGCATTACGATCCCGAGAAGGACCCCCTGCACGTGTCCAACCTACAGAATCCGGTGTTGGAATCCTTGCAAGAGACTCTGTCCAACGGGAACGTCAAGATCAAGCACGTCATTCTCGTGAAACTCGAAAGCACCCGCAGTGATGTCTTTCCCTTGCGCAAAGACACCTTCATGTGGAATCGCATTGCACGAACGTATCAGGACAAGAAGATCCCGGATGAAGTCCAGGAACGCATCGCCAACCTGACCCGCACCGCCGAGTTCCTGACTGGGTTTGACGCGGGATTCGGCCATGACAACGAGCACGATTATGGAAGACGGTCCTATGGGGGCATCAGTGCGCGCAACGCCTTCACTACCGGCACCTACACGCTGAAAAGTCTTGTCGGTACCGTGTGCGGCGTGACCCCCTTGGTCGCCGATTTCAACCGGGAATATGACCATCACATCTACCAACCCTGCATGCCGCACATTTTAGATGCATTCAACTACCAGGATGACGTGGACACCAACCGGGCCATCGACCAAGCCGACTTTCGCGCCTGGCCGTGGCATTCCGCCTGGATGCAGTCCGTCACGGAGACGTACGACAACCAAGACCGGCTCACTCCGCAACTGGGATTCTATGACGTGGTGACCAAAGAGTCGCTCGAGAAACCGAATGCGACGCACTTCCCCATGCGGTCCAAGGAGGTGAACTACTATGGATACCCCGACATGGTGTTGCGGGACTACGTGAGTGACGCGATTGACGACGCGGAGCGCAACCACCACCGGCTGTTTTTGACACATCTGACGGGCACGACGCACCACCCCTGGGGCATGCCCAATGATACCTACTCGGACATGGTGTCCTCTAAGAATACCAATTCCAACGAGGACATCAACAAGTACCTGAACACGATCGGATATATCGACCAGTGGCTGCAACAGATCATTGATGTCCTCACTGAGAAGGGTGTCGTCGATGAGACCTTGCTGGTGATGGCTGGTGATCAGTATGTATCTCCTGAAAACACCTTGATGTATGCTCATGCTAACCCTTGCCAGTGGTCTTTCGCTCCCCAACGACGGTGGCGTCACGCCCTATGACAATCCCCATATCGGCAGCTTCCACATCCCCATGTTATTCGCCCACCCTCACCTTCCTCAGATCGAAATCAATACGCCGGTGATCACCCAGCAGGTTGTACCCACCATTCTCGACCTGTTGATTCAATCCTCATCACTCGGGGACAACAGCACCTCCGCCGCGCGCGACCTACTCTCCATCTACGAGGGCCAATCCATGATCCGAGAATTGGTTCCCGAACAGGACGGCCGACAGAACTGGCAGTTCACTGTAATGAACACAGGTGGCTCATGGCTGGCGGTGCGCTCCGCCGCCCACCCAGCCTACCGACTGGTGATCCCGCTCGTCGACGACGTGGAATGGCGATTCACCAACGTGGAACAAGACCCAGATGAGCTGCACCCGGTGACCGAATTCAACCTGGTCGACCTGGCCCGGACCCTGGATAAGGAATATGGCACCGATGCGGTGGACTGGGTGCGCGACGCGGCGCATGTCGCGGAATGGTGGGTCACGGAGAACTGGCATCTGTATCAGTATCGACGCAAGCCTAAGCATTGAGTGGGAAGAGGCCACCTGGGGATTGATCAACCCACGCATTCGGCCTGGTGCATGCTCGCGCCGAACCATCTACCGCCACTGGTGCGGATAAACCAGATTGAACATGGATCTTTTGTACATAGTTTGTTGTGGGATCACAGGATGACATTACTGACTTTTAGCGTCAATTGAATCACATCATAATCGACTTGATTCCGGTAGAGGATATTCCCAACCTTGCTGCCAAAGAACCGTAGCGTAGGAGTCGAGGAATGATTGCATGAGCCAAATACGTAGGTAAGGCCGTGTCTCTTCACCGCCTGTCCTGGCCTTGGTCATGCGCATTCCCTCCACCCAGCTTCGTTTCCCCTTGACATCAGTCACGATGGGAGATGGAGATGCAAGCCTTCCACCGTCCCAAGAACGAAGGATCGCGGACACTGAATTGGCATACCAATCCGATGACAGTGATGAATCTGACAGTGCTAACAATGTAACCTGGGCCCCAGGGGACGGAATCTGCCCATCCACCGCACAATTCAATCGTTGCTGCGAAGCCAAGTTCGACCAGTGGAGCACAGCAGCTTCGACCCCTCCACCAGGCTCGGAATCTTCCCAATACTACATCCAGTCTTTTCTGGATCTCCTCCAAGATGTTCCCTCATTTCTCCACAGCCCACCAAAAGACATCAACATCGCGGGTGGACGGCGATCATATCTAACTCTCACTTCCACCTTGCAGATTCAAACGACAGACAATCCGGATTGCGATCAACCTGAAAAGCCCATTGATTATTACCAGTGTCTGGGACGGCCATCCCCCGCTACCTATGAGACCAAGGCTGATACACCACTGCCGGTTGCTATCCCAGTCTCCGCGAACCCTCTTCGCGCGGGTTACTTGACTAATATTGTTTTGGCCTGGTCGTATATCATCTCCAGTCGCTGGGTGGAGATAATGCAGCTGGCGGGGATGGAAAGTCAGATGCTCCTCGACCACGATACGCGGATAGAGGAGTGTTTCTGGGATATTGTGACTCAGAGCGGCTGGGTGGCTCGGGTAAAATGGAATCAAGGCGTTTTTTACTCGCCGTGGATGTTGAGGAGCGAAGACGACAAAAAGGAACGGTAAGTCATGCTAATTTATCTGTGGTTCGTTTATTGATTGACATCAGAAGAGGGGACCGGACACCCGTTGCTTCCAATTCGTCCCTTGCCTTTGATATTCTTCTAGACTTTTGTGTGTCCGAAGGCCTAGAAGGTGAGTTGATCATTGGACTTGCTGCAGTTTTGTTCTTGACATCACGCAACGCGCCTTCACCCAAGTTCGCTCCTCCTATACTGAACTTAGGTATCCCGCGCTCTTCGACGAAGAAGGAACTGGTTTGGCACCAACTCTTCCAATCGATCGATAAATGCATGTTTCTCAGCTGTACGCAAGATGCTCTGGACTCGGTGTTATGCAGTGTCTTTTTCGATCCTTCTATTCCCTGCAATCTCATGGGAGCTGCATCTCTAGGTGTGAGGAAAGCCCTCTCAAAAGGGGGTGAGGTCGACCTGCAGCAGCTTCTCAATGCAATAACGAACATCAAACCACAGTTGAGTATCCTCTGGGCTGGCGTCTTATGCAGCCATCAGGCGACTTCGTTCCTCAAGTTAACCTTCCGCAATCTACCCCCCATCAACCTGGCCGCCGCGCTTTGGACCAACACAGCCCAATCCTTCCTCCAGATAGCATATGAGTCCAGTGACGTACCCGAACCAATCACTCCCCGAGCCAACGAATTCCAAACATCCTACTTTTGCCGATCGGTGATATCAGTTCCATGGTCACCAGCGCCTCCTTTCGGTGCTACCCCCATTAGCAATCTCAGCCTCGAGGTTCGAGCGCACCTTGCACATATACACATACCTCGTTCATGGAGGATATACTGGAATCTGACCTCTGGGAAACAAGTACCAGCCAGTGCAACGCATTATCTTACACCTGTGCATATTGACGGTATACACCAGTCCTATTCTACAGAGCATGCAAATGAGTAAGCCACCGTAGTAACCACCCCAACCAGTATGCTAACAGACCAGGATGCCGTACCCCGAATCCGAACAGAGGCCTGCAGATGAGCAATCATGGGCCGCGACATCGCGCTTGTTTAATTGGCACCGAGGCTACGATGATGGCATCTGGTTGGATGATGGTTCGGGGGATGTGGATGCGATTCGGCGGAGGCAGAGGCATGCGTGGATGGTTGACCCATTTGATGATGATTCTGATGAAGAGGTTGAGGAAACGAAGCATCGAGAGCTTGATGTTGAGGGTATTTCGCGATGGAAGGGTGAGGTCGAGAGATTCAGTTGAGCGGCGAAGAAATGGTGCCTCATAGATGATCGTTGATATATTTGTGCTCCGCATCGGGTTCGATACTGGGGGGAAAGGGCAATCGGTTGAATTGACGCCGAGAAACTTCAGTACAAGAGTGATATCTGAGGCTAGATCTCAGCGAAATTCCTATTTATCCAGCCATCAAGCTTAACTGTGCCACTGGGTAGACTGCATATGTGCGATGAATTGATTGTTTCGATGTCTGCCTGAGGCTTTATGCATGCCTTAGGCATGAGTTGCCTTACCACGTGCCACCGCGCTGAGATGAGGGGAAGCTCCAACAACCCCCTTCCAAGTTCCAGTTCCCATCGATTCCACAAACCCACAGGGTAAATTATCCGCGTCAGGTGTCATTCTATCATCAAATAAGCGACTTATCACCTTCCTCCAATCGAGTCATGACAGCCGAGAAGATAAGCTTATCGCCAGGAGCTCCGTCGGCGCCAGCGTCGGTGTCGGCCTGGCTGCTGACGACCAGCATCTTAGCCTCCATTTAGCCTCACGCCGCGCCATGATTCACCATGAGTCATTCTGCATCGCATCATCAGTCATAATCATCTTCTGTCTTCATGATAGTGAAACCGCTTCATGAACCGTCTATAAGACAACATGGAGGGCCACGTTCTAGCTAACCTGGGCACCGAGTGCGAGCAACAACCTCCCCTTCCCCTCACATGAACCAGGCAGCCACACCACCGCCATCAACCTCCACCATGACCACCGCAAACAACTACCTGGCCCCTGCCCTCCCCGCAGACCTTATCACCGAATTGATCCTCTCCCTGGACCTTCCCCGACCGACCCTCGTCGAACCCCTACAAGTATCCGCCGCCTTCCACACCATCTACCTCATCCACTTCAGCCCCGACACGGCGGTCTCGATCCCCGCCCGCCGTGAACCGGATGGATCTGTCATTCTCGTCCTCCGCGTGTCCGGACGCCAACTACCCACGATCAAGACCCTCAATGAAGTCGCAGTGATGACCTGGGTGCGCCAAAACACCCACATCCCTGTTCCGGCGGTGGTGCGATACTCCGCGACCGAGGACAACCCGATCGGACACGAGTTTACACTTCTGGAGAAGGCGCCTGGGGTGAGCGTGGAGAAAGTGTATCCGACGCTGAGTATGGAGAGCAAAACCAAGATGGTGAAACAATTGACCGACTATCTGATCGAGCTACACGCCCACCCCTGGACGGACGGCTACGTGGGCGGATTGACGATCCGCGACGGCGAGATCGCGTCGGGGCCGCCGATCGAGGAGACCTATTGGCAGGCGCCGGATATTGCTACCTATTGGGCGGACAAGCAAACCTTGGAATCGCTGAACCCATTCAAATCGGATGGTTACGCTAGCTATACGGCATACAACGTCGCCTGTTTGGAGCGGTACATTCACGCGATGGAAGTGCATCCCTCGCTCGCAGCCCACCGCGATCGCATCCCCCGTTTACGGCAGTTGATCGCGGCGCTGGAATCCCCGGAGCATCAGGCGGAGCTGAACCGGGTTACGTATGTGCTGGCACACAAGGACCTCCATTTCGCCAACATCATGTGCGACCCGACGGATCCGGAGTGTCCCATCACCGCCGTGCTCGACTGGGAGTTCTCGAGTGTGGTGCCGGCGCCGCGATGGAACCCGGTGCGGGCGTTTGCATGGAATTACCGGTACGCGGCCGAGGACAAGGCGGAGCGGAATCACCTGGAGGAGGTCTTTGCGGAGATCTGTCGGGCCAAGGGGGCGGGCCACGTGCTGGAGGAGATGAAGCTGAATGAGCGCCAGGAGGCCATGCAGAAGGCCGTCAACCACGTCCGGGCCGTTGTCGAGGTGTCGCCACGGGGCCAGGCCACGGAGGAAAAGGTCAGCCTGTGGTGGGCCACCGTGGACGAGGCCCTGGCAGACTTGGGGGTATAACGAATCTCGACAACCACTATACCAATAAAATACGTCTTTATCCAGCAGACTTCTAACGCTATTCCACTTAGTCTCATCAAGTGTATCATCATAAGATTCTCATCTCTATACAAAACTAGAAATCCCGGACTACAGCTTGGCCTCGCGGTGCCAGCGCTTCAGCTCGCGCCGGAGAATCTTGCCGGACGCATTCCGCGGGATACTCGGGACGAAATGCACGCCGCCCCGGAGCTTCTTATAGCCGATTACTCGCTCCGCGACGAACTCGACAATCGCCTCGGTCGTCTTTGCGTCTGCGGCATGCCCTTGGGCCAGGACGACATAAGCCCGGGGCAGTTCGGTGCCCGCCTGTCCGCTCGGCACGCCCGTGACCGCCACGTCCGCCACCGCCGGATGCCCAAGAGCAATGGCCTCCAGCTCGGCGGGGGCGACTTGAAAGCCGTTGTACTTGATGAGTTCCTTGAGGCGATCGGTAAGATAAAAGTGGCCCTGGTCATCGTCATAGCCGACATCGCCGGTCTTGTAGTACCCGTCGTCGGAGAAGGAGTCGGCATTGGCCCGGGGGTTGTTGAGGTAGCCCAGGAACACGTTGGGGCCCTTGACCCAGAGCTCCTTGGCGCGACCGGTTTCGCCCTCGATGGGAGCAAACTTGGCGGTCATGTTGGGGAGGAGGCGGCCAGCGGACCCGGGATGCGAGATGGCTTCGGGCCAGGTCTGGATGCGTTAGTGACGCTCACTCGGATGATGAGGGCACGGGACAGACCTGGAGGTGGGTGCACGGAGCGCACTCGCTCATGCCATAAGCCTGGCGCACGGGGAGACGCAGCTGGTGGCGGGCGGCATGGATCAGCTCGAGGGCCAGCGGCGCCGCGGCGGAGACGATCAGGCGCAGGGACGAGAGATCATACTGCGCGGTGCGGGTGTTGGAGACCAGCTCCAGGATGACCGGAGGCACGGCATAGGCGTAGGTGATGCGATGGCGCTGGATAGTGTCGCAAAAGGGGGCGAACTGGAAGCGCGGCAAGACATAGAGCGGGACGCCCGAGTAGACGGTGTAGTTGAGCAGGTACGTGATGCCATAGATGTGGAAGAACGGCAGCACGCCCAGGGCCCGATCGCGGTCCCAGGTCAGCTGGCCTTGGTCGACGGCGGCGTTCTGCAGCAAATTGGCGATCATGTTGCGATGTGACAGCATGACGCCTTTGGGGAGACCGGTGGTGCCGGACGAGTACACCAGGAAGGCCAGCTCCTGGTCGGGATGCTGCACGGGAGGCGTGTGCGCGGGGGTTGCCTCGCTTGCCTCTCCTGCCAGCCAGAATGGCGACGGCTGGTCGAGCAGGAGGACGCGATCGCGCGACAGCCCGGAGCGAGCCACAGCCTCGTACACGACGGGAGCCTGGGCGGTGGTGGTGACAATGGCTCGGGCGCGGGCATCAGTCAAGGGATGCACCAGCTCGCCGGCGCGGTAGCTGGGGTTGACGGGGCACACCACGCCCCCTACGGCCAGTGTACCCCAGACCACGGGGGGGACCTCGATGGCATTCGGGGCAAAGACCACCAGGACATCCCCGGGCTGCCAGTTCCAGTGCGTCTGGAGTGCTTGGCCGAAGTGGAGGGCCCCCTGACGGATCTGCTGGAAGGACAGGCTGCGGCCGGACGACGCGTCGATGAAGAGAGCTGTTCGGGTCAGTACCTCTCTTCTATTTTTGAGAGATGGGCTAGCATACGATGAGAGGGAGGAAACGGTCGGTCGGGACGCTCAAAGAGCAGGGTCCAGAGGTCAACCGGAGGGATCTCCACGGGGGGAAAGGGGGATGTCGAGGATTGCATGGTGAGGTGGTGAGAACTGAGAGAACGACGGGGATCAAGCATGAGAAAAGGAATGTGGATGGATGGTATGCAACAAAAGCAAAACTGGGCCATGCAGCCGGGCTCATCCGCATCACATCCCCCTCATCCCGTGCCTTCATCTCCAAGGCCCACCGCTTCTTGAAGCCATCGTGGCATCAGGCATGATCATCGCAGCATGGTCGTACGATCTCCTCCATCATCTGTATGGATTTCCTTGCAGACTCATCGCGATCTTCAGCTGGGCCTCAGCACACTCCCTTCCTCCGCCCGCTGCCCGTCAACAAACCCTAACCCCCTCCCCGGCAAAGCACCTCCCATACCTTCCATCCGTCTCTTCACCCATCGAGGAATACAGTCCAAATCGGTGCGAGATATCCAGCTGATGTCATGATCGTGGCGAGTATCATATTACCATTCTCTCGTCTGCTCACTGCCACCACATCTCAACCGCGGTGGTCAGGACTGCTCCCTGCTATCGCCGGCAGCGGCCTCTGCATGCCCTCCCAAGCGGTACCATGCACTTTCTTCCTCCAGTCGGAGTGCTACCCACCTACACGGTTCTCACGTTTCAAGGGGAAATAGGTTCAGCCATTGATGTATTGGTCAAAGTCCGACAGCGATGCTCGGACTCACAGCGACATATCGCCGATCTATACCAGCTGAGCAGGGATAAATACAAGCTTGCAACTGGCGATCTCGGTCATTGGCATCGTCTTCACCACCGTCAGTTCTATTATCGCTATCATTACTACCACTACTATCAGTACCATAGTATCATCAGTACACCATGTCGCAGCTCTCCCCCAACAGCCATCTCGCAGCCACCTATCGTACCTGGGCCCGGCTGCAGGACCTCAAGGCCAACCCCTCGCTGGCTTTGGCGGCAGCGCGGATTCGCGCACCCGACCAGGCCACCTCCCTGCAAGCTGCTCTGCTGCAGCATACCCAAGCCGGCATCCTCGTCGCTGTCGACAAAGACGAGCATGGAACCCCCGAGCATCCGGGGTCCCACTCGATGCCCTCGGCCTGGGTGCGCGCCTCCATCGCGGTACGCGCCAACGCCAACGTCCGGGGCCACAGCGCCGTCAGCATCCCCATGCTCAACAGCCTCCTCCAACTACTCGCCCACCGCATCACCCCGATCGGCCCCCTCCGCGGTTCCATCTCCGCCTCGGGCGACCTGACGCCGATGTCGTACATTGCCGGCACCATCGAGGGCAGTCCCGACATCTACGTGCGGGTGGGGGATGAACCCCGCCCCCCGCATCATGCCGGCCCGTGACGCTCTCCAGGCCGCCAACCTCCCCCGGCGGACCATGGGTCCCAAAGAGGGACTCGGCCTCTTAAACGGTACCGCCGTCAGCACCGCCGTCGCCAGTCTAGCTCTGCAACGACGCCCATCTCCTCGCCGTCACCTCCCAAGCGCTAACCGCCCTCGGCGTCGAAGCCCTAACCGGCACCGCCGAATCCTTCCACCCGTTCATCCACGCCACCCGTCCACACCGGGGCCAAATCGAAAGCGCCGCCAACATCCTCACCCTCCTCCAAGGCTCCCACCTGGCAACCGAGCCCCTCCCCAAATCCCGCACCAGTCCGGGTCTCATCCAAGACCGCTACGCCTGGCGCAGCGCGCCGCAATGGCTCGGGCCGCAGCTCGAGGACCTGACTCTGGCCTCGACCCAACTCCACACGGAACTCAACTCCAGCACCGACAACCCTCTCATCAACCCTACCACCACCACCACCACCACCGCCACCACCACCACCACCACAGCAACAGAAATACACCTAACAGACATCCAAACCTGGACAACCCAGACAACCACCCTCCTCCGAGAAACCTATCACACCACCGCAGCTCAATTCCTCAACCACCCTCACACAGCGGACCTTCTCGGCGCGGGGACCAAAACGCTATATAATCCCGTGCGGAAAGACCTACAAGTCCCCTTTCATCGAGGGAGGATTGATCATCCCACCACCTCCTCCTCCTCCTCCTCCTCCATCGACCAAAGCGAGGAAAGGGATCGAGGAGACAAAAAAAACCATCGGCTCGTGGATCTTGGTAATCTACGAGGCCTTACGACGGGGGGATATCCAAGGCTGTGTCTTGGAATGGATACGGGAATTGGAATTGGGATCGGGATTAGAATTGGAGAAGTGAGAAAGGGAAGGCTTGTATGGACGGATGCGGATGCATGTAGCACCGCGGACCCATGGGTCGGGGGCGGTGCGGTGGAAGTCTAGAAGCCGAGAGGGACATGGGACGGGAAAAGTTCTGCTGCTTTGTTGATTCACCAACCCTTTGGGTTAGAATTCAATTTGTTGGTCTGTTGTCGAGTTCGGTAGCTTGTATGTGCGATTCAAGTGCTGAGATGCTCTCTCATGTGATGCTGCATGACGGCACGTTGGACCAGTCTGATTTCCCATTCGCGGAACCAAGGACAGACGCACAATCTTAAGGGGGCGTATATCCATGAATATCAACCACAACGGGGAAATCCATGAGCTGAATGCAGTGCAGACGGGATAATCAGACAGATGATGATGTGCTCCGCACATTATAAAGATACTATTTATGGCTTGCTCTTATATACATTAAATCTCCTCGCACCATTAGTCGTCTGCTCATGTTATTTTCATCACCGTCTACGCATTGTTGGCACAGGAAAAGCTGCTCCGGGACGAATCATCGTGGATCGCCTTGCCGGATGCATACAGACCAAGACCACACTAAACTCATCAGCAATCGTCACAAGACCGGGCAAAGAAAACTTACCATCGCGCCACCAATGGCAAAGATCACCATGTTGAGGATGGTCAACGCGGACTTCCTCGGGCTGGACCACCATTGGCCGTAGTTCATGTGCAGCCAGTACGCTCCCGGCAGTCCGAAACTGAACCAACTCGCAAACAGCGAGCTGATCAAGCTGACCAGGTTGCTGAAGGACGGAATGCCCTCGGCGATGATCCAGGCAATCACCCAGCAGGTCACGCCAATGGCGAGCCACGAGCCCACCGAGATCCAGTCGTTCTTGTGCATACGCCCGGAGTTCCGGAAGAGACGCACGTAGATGTACTTGAGACCGACGTGTCCATTCACCACACCCGCGCCGATAATCTACACGTCATCAGTAGGAGCATCTCCAGCAGGAGTCAACGTCACGTACCGTGGGAATAGCCATGCCGTACGCCACTTTCTTGAGGACTGGCCCAGCCGAGCCGAGGGCTGGAGAGGCTACGCCGTTGCCCACGTAGTAGTAGATCACAATGGCCGCCACCACGTACAGACAGATCTCAAAGGCCTGCAGCAGACACAGGGCCTTGGGGAAGTCCTTGGGCTCCTCCATCTCGGCGATCAAGCCGAAGAAGGCGACGTGGGCACAGTACGCGAACATGATCTGGGTGACACCGCTAAAGGCCGTGTACAGGGTCGTGTCGGTGGTAATGCTAATGTTCTCACCGCCCTTGTACTGCACGCCAACCCCAATCATGGTGATCATTACCGCGGAAAAGATACTCAGGAAAGCTGATCCGTCAGCGCCACCACCACCGGGAACAGAAGAGGGGGGGGGGACTTACAGGCTGTGGAGATGTAGGTCAAGTTCTTGATAGTGCGAGGCAGCGAGAGGACCAGACAGATGACAAACGCCACAATACTGAATACGATGGAGCAAGTACCGTGGTCGGTGATGGTGTTCATCATGACGGTAAAGGTGACGATGTGGCTCCCCATGATGAAGATGGAGAAGAGAATCTGGCCGAGTCCAAACAGCTCGCGCCCAAAGGCGCCCATGAGGATCTCGCCCGCATCGGCGAGGTTGTGGATGTAGGGGTGTCGTTCACGGAACTGGCCGATGACGTAGCCGGTGTAGAGCGCGAGGATACCGAGGCCGATGATCAGGATGAGAGAACTACCTCGTTAGTTCAGCTGGGGCAACAACGAGACAGATGGGACTTACGGAACCAGTCCCAGGGCCGTCATGGTGGCCGGCAGCGACAAGACTCCCAGCGACACCGATTCTGCGATCATGACTAAGCTGGTCAGTATGCTTCTGGTTCCGAGAGATACCCGAGATCACATACACATTCCACATTGCCTAACATCATTAGCTTGCGTTGTCATCTGCAGGGGCGACTATACATACCACCACTTCAGGGTCTTGTACTTGACCTCCGCGTTGGCCTCGTCACCAAAGGCGTCCACCTCCGGGGTGTTTCCGACCGCCTTGAGGTCCTCGAGGTCATCATCCTTCTCGTCGCGAGGTTTGGTCTCGACCGCATCCGGCGGGGGGGCAACGCCGTCCAAGCGCATGGTGATTGGGTATATCGGGTGATGTCGCGTGGCAGAGGGACACGAGAGCAGCCGCAGCAGCCGGAAAGAAGACGGAGGAGAAAGCTGATACAGAAAATTCTCACGGGTGGGGTCGTAAGACGATCCGGTGCTCCGCTGCCTGTGCCTCTGCAGATGTGCTACCGTCGACAAGGTCGGGGAGATGGACGAGAAGAAGACAAGCCGGAGAGGAGAAGGAGAAGGAGGAGAAGAAGAAGAAGAAGAAGAAGAAAAAGAAGCAGAAGCAGGCGCGGCTGCTACATTTGGGGCCGGGTGTGGTTGCCCGTTGAGGCCGCGGTGCACCGCAATCAGCAATTGCCCGCAAAACCAGCATCGCGATGTGGACGATCCGCGCGCCGCCGCCCCACTCCGCTGCAGTTTTTTTTAAAAGTTTTGGACCAATGAGGGTTGAGAGAGGTTGAAATTAAGTAACAGAAAGACCCCCTCCCGCTTGGCCCTGCCGCTGCCCGCGAATAGCCGCGGTTCCGCCGAGCGCTGATTGGTGCGGCCGGCCTGGCTCGGGGGGAGTCCGGTGTCCCTTCTAGAAGTTCGTTGCAGTTATCGCTTTTCATGACTGCCTCAAATGACTGATCATTAGCTCATGTTTATTCCGCCTCTAATCGGACAGTCCTGATTCGATTGACCGAGGTGCAAGACTTGCTCCATTCACTGATTCAGGCACCGTCAGAAAATGGGGAGGCTGCTGCCCCGGAGGCGAACTCCACTCCCTGCAGGCCATATCCGTTCACCCCCAGCCGGATGGGATTTCTCCGGATTGAAGAATTTTCCGGATACTTTCGAAGCGGTTGCTTAGCGGGGGTCAATTTCAACAAAATTCGGTCCCGCCTGAGACATGAAACTTCATCCAGAACGATACCTGCATTCGTCCGGTCTGAGACACCACATTCCCAACAAGGTTCGAAGAAAAAAGTCCGCTGCAATCAGAGAGCATGTAGTGGGATTTGGGAACAAACTTTGTATCGTATCTGGCTACCCATCTGGATGGCTGTTCATGCCATTGACTGCTATATCGGGTAATCACACATCTCCATGTCTCAGCCTTATCCATCACGCCGATCAAGCTTCTTGTTCCTGCAGAGTAATATAACCTAGATGATGTCATCATCGCAGGCTACTAAACGATCAAACGCATGTAATCGCCAACATCACCGCGCTGTATACCCCCCATCGACCGGGACTACCGCTCCTGTCATCCAGCTGGCATCTTCACTCGCCAGCACTACTGCCACGCGGGCAATGTCATCTGGCAATCCCGGCCCATTGAAGGGGTGTCGTCGCTGCAGGTCCTCCGCCGTATGCATATACTGGGTGGTCTCTTCATAGATGGCCGTTTGGGTATCTACAGATGCCAATCAGTACTCACATCGTCACAGATTCGCTATGAACTTACAACCCGGACAAATCGCATTGGCATGGATGCGATCCCGCGCATAATCCAACGCCACCTGGCGAGTGAGATTACTCACAGCCCCTTTGGAGGCGCAGTAGGATGCTATTTATCTCAGCATGGTCACAACATACCAGAAACATACCGAAACGAATGAAAGAAAAGGGAAAACACACGATTCTCGGTCGCCGCCACAATCCCCAGAATCGACGACAGGTTGATGATCCATCCCCGGTCACCCGAGGCATGCGGGTCCTGCTTCAGCATCTGCGTGATGGCGTACTTGCTCCCCAGGAAGACCGAGCGCGTGTTGATCCGCATGGTAGTGTCGAACAGTTCGTTGGTGGTTTCGTGGATCCGGGCGGGGTGACGGGATTCGAGAGAGACTCCGGCGTTGTTGACCATTCTATCCTCAGTCAATTTGGGGTTAATGAGTGGGTAGGTGGTCAGGACATACATGTCCAACCGACCAAATTCCTTCACCGTCTGCAACACTGCGTTCTCCATCTGCGCCTCATCACCGACATCGGTCTGGACGTAGAACGCCTTCCCGCCCTGTTGGGTGATGGCCTCGTGGGTGGTGATGTCCAGTTCCTTATGCACAGGAGAGCGAGCCGTCGGAGTAATGTCCGCGCAGGCGACCTTGGCGCCTTCGCGGGCATATCGCAGGGCGATGGCCCGTCCAATACCCGAGGAGGCACCAGTAACGAGCGCGACTTTGTTAAGGAGACGCATGATGGATGAGTATGGCGAGGGATACTGTCCCAAGTGAAGGGAAGCAGCAGCAGAAATACCCCTCCCCAGATGTTGCACTCCTCGTCTCGAGGCCCTCCAACCGAGAGATGCTGGAAGCATTGCATTCGTATTCCTGCAGCTGGGGAGGATCAATGACTGCACGGTGCGGGGTAAGACAAAGAAGGGATACAAGGACAACTGGCCGGCCTGCATCCTCGGAGCATATCCGATGACAGCAGAAGACGGCCTGGATTGACTACGGCGAGGATAATGTTCTCATGGGATACATTCGATACAAGGCGCTGCTATCGCTGATACCAAATTACATCCGCTGCAACCTGCAGTACACTCTTTGTGCCGAACACCGAACACCGCTACAAGGCCGTCCACGATCTGTGAATCCCTAGTATCTTGCCTAGCTGACGGCACGCCCCTAAGCCAGCGCTCGCTCTCCATCACTAATCAGCACCGGATGAATGCTCTTACAGTTCCATTCAGCTATATCCAAATCCAAAGTCAGTGAATATATATTACATCTCACAGAATTGATACTATATATATTCTAATCTCCCCCCACATGGCCCCCGATAACAACCGCAGCTCTGAAATCGATACCCATTAAACCCATCCACCACCCCCTTCCCCATAATTCCCCTTCATCATCTCCACCACCCCATCCTAACACCCATTAACCCATCACCCCACAATCACCAACCAAACATATCCCAAGACACAAGACACTTCTACATCCAACGCCATCCTCGATCATCAGACCAAATCCCGAAATCGAGGGGTTTGCACAAGAATTCCGAGTCCCAGAAATCTCCACCATGATTGGCGGGGATACAATCCCGAGTGGAATGTTCGGGTGCAACCTGTCAGGAACCGTCAGAGGGAAGGGGGGGGGGGCTTCCTACGTCATTTGCATGCCAACATGCCAGTGAGGGGATCCACAGCGGGAGGGACGCCCGATATATTCCAAGGTTTGGGGATGGGGGAGGAGGTCAGATGGGAGGAGGAATGTGACTACAGCGTCAGCGTGGTTGGTGATGACCTGAGTCTTGATCTTCGCTAGTAGTGAGGAAGGATATATGATATGATATCCTTTGGGATGGAAGGATAGGGTTTGGATGGTTCGCTTGGCGGGTTCCACCAAACTTAAAGGAACCTTTTCATGTGCGGTGAACGGAACGGAAACCAATCTATCTACCATTAGGTTACGGCCGGAAGTCTATACATAGGGTTCGACGACATTGTATGCGGGGGCCTCCTCGGCATAACTTTGATCGGACCATCGGGTACGAGATCGCTCCGTCCCAGGCACACTGCTGGTCCGTCGGACGCCTACCGACCGCACCGTCAGACTCCGTCCCAGCCCCGTGGAGCCCGCCGCCTGGCTCTGGGCGCTCTCCTCCAGTTTCAGCACCAGTCCCACGGCTTTGTGGTCCTCCGTCAGCTTGGGGCGTCGTTGAGCAAAGTACTTGGCGTATTTATACAGGGACCAGTAATTGCTGCCGACGTTGATAAAGGCGATGATGATCTTGTAGGGCATCTGCTGTCGGTTAACACGGGTCATTGGCAGAGGGCCGAGGCAGAGACGTACATAGTAGAATAAGACAATTTTCCAGCTGACTCGCTCCTGTTTCAGGCGCAGGTGGATCTCGTTGAAGATGATGGCGTTGGCCAGGTAGAGTGCCAACGTGGCCACCAGGAGGACCGCGCAAAAGTTCGGGCGCACAATCAAGGAAATCGGTAGGACGAAGGGGGCAAAGATGGTCAGAACAGTCTCGTACAGCTGATGCCATCATACCAGTTAGCAAGGAATCCCGGGAAAGTATCTGCTAGGGAACCTACTTCCTGCAGGACAAAGATCTTTGCCCCAATCTCCCACTTGCCCAGGTTCCACGACCGCAGGATATAGGCCAGGTTGTATCGCATGCCATTGACGACAAAGAAATTCCACCGCATAAACCGCTGCTTGAAAACGGTCGTCTCTCCAAACCCACCCCGACTTCGCCCACTAGCAAACAAAAACGAGGGGGGTGCGTGGGTTTCCACAAACACCGAACTGCACATCTGGATTCGCCCTCCCAGTCGGCGACAACTATTCCCCAGGAACCAATCCTCACTGATGGAGAACCCAGGATGATCCTGCAGGGTTTCCCGCAGGAAGGAACGTTCCCAGAGCGAGATGGCTCCGTGGGGAAAAGTTGCGCTGCCGATGCGTCCCGCGAAGGTGCGCTGCAACCCGGCGAGTTTATACTCCAGATCCTGGGCCTGTTGGCAGTACGTTCCCAGGGACGAATCCGCAGCGACAGCCTTGATCGTGTAGCCAATACAGCGGACCGAGTCGGTCAGCCGGGAAATGACCACAGGGAAGTGCGGTGGCAGAATGCAGTCATCATCGATAAGGAGGACGTAGCGGAAGTGCTTGGTAACGTAGGACCCAACGAATAACGCAATGATCTTGGATCCGACCGGGCTCCAGATGTGGTTGACTCCATACGGACGGCAGATCTCCTCGGTGTTGTCGAGCGGAGTCGGAGAGTCGCCGTTCGCAATCACGTAGATGTGAGAAGGTGGAAAGATCTTCACCGCGGCTGCGAGGGTTTCCCCAATCACCCCGGCAGCTTTGAAACATGGAATGAGTAGCGCCGTGTCAGGAGCTGTTGGGCTGATGCGGCGACTCTGATAGAACTCGGCGTCAGGGGCATCGCTTTCAAACGTGGTCAGGAGAGGCGAGAACGAGTAGCTGGGAGGGAAGGCACACGCATGAGTGATCTTTCTTTGAGGGCTGCACACCGAGGGGACCTACAAGATCACCAGGCTGATGACAATGGCCCAGCCCCCCTGGAAGACGAACTTGTGGCGCATCAACCAGTAAAGCCAGTAGACGGCTCCTTTCCACAGGGGCATCCCCACCAGCACAAAATACACGAATGCGGCATAAAGGGTGTACGTTCCATATTCAATCACCAGCTGGACCCAATACCGGCGTTCATGTTTGATCTTGACCAGATTGGCCCGGTTATAGAGGGTTCCAATGCTGCTATCCCGAGCTCGTTCTACCACCCGGCGGACCGATTGGTGAACCGGGGATGGCGATACTTGGCTGAGATAACTGAGCCTTCGTCTCTCGAAGGCCGGAGGAGGCTGGTCCCCCAATATGCTACTAGAGCCTTGTGTTTCGGATTCCGTGTCCTGTAGCCCCTGGACACTGTTTGGCCCAGGCCGGGGTTCCTCCATCACCTGGTCCTCCAGGACCGGGTAGATCATCCCTCTGCCTTCCTCCAGCGCTCGCGACGAATCACTGGCTTGTCGTCGTCGAACATCTCCCGGATGCACTGCAGTGGCTGGCCAGCTGGAGCTCGGCGGTCTTCGTTTGAGTACTGAGATCTCCTCCTCCGGGATGGGGGCAATCGGCTGCTGCGTCCAGTGTCGCGGGGACGCCGGATTCCAAACTTGCCTGAGAGAGGCTGCTGCCAGAAGGGATTCAGGTACCACAATCTCCTCCGCCAGGGACCCCTCATCACTAGGGGGCATCCCGCCAGGATATGACCACGCGGACGAGGAGTCATCTGGTAGGGACATGCGAGACCCCTGGCGTGATCCCAACACCGGGCCAGGGGACTCCCCCGGGCCAGGGCCTGGGGCTGCAGCAGGATCGTGCATATAGCGCAGCTACCCTGTGGTCACCTCGTGTTAGGCCCGGTTACACATGCACCCTGGCTTCCACCCGAATCGATATAAGCCTTCTCGGGGGAGCAAGATGGCACGTTCCCGGGGGAGAGATTTGGGTCTTATGTCATTACACAAATCGGGAGGTCTAGATGCCTTCATCGGGGGGTCTAGCATGAGCGAGTCATGGTGTCTACACGATGTCACGTAGTAGGCAACAAGCAACACCATCCTCACAAGTCACGACGTCCAGCAGCCACCCGAGTCAGGGCCGTATGCTAAACATAGCTGACCATGAAGTATGCTAGGCTCCTTGCGCACGGACTGGGGCTCTGGGGTGTTTATGTCGCTGGTTCCTGTTGTTCATGCCTACCTTATCGGATTATATTCGAGATGGAAACCATGTGTTCCAAACACTAGATCCTGGAGGCTAGATATATCTCCAGTGGCTTTCCATGTATTGGTTCGAGTCAGTGAGAATCTGGCGATAGAGTCAGCCGGCCCTCTGCTTCCATGCTGACGGAGGGGGAGGGGTGCTCGACAGCTATGTGTCCATCTCTTCACACCCCCTATGCGTCTGGATTCTCCAGAGTTCAAGGTTGCTTCAGGACTCGACCTAGACAGAGGGCGGCCGTACCTGGCGCAGCGGATTCTCCATCGTCGGCAAGGGGGCGGGAGATCGGGAATCCCAGGCGTTTGGTTTGCTGGCTGCTGCGACACAAACCCCGCCCCTGACTCGTGAGTTGTGCACGATCGCATACACTCTCAGGAGAGAGAGGTGGGATGATTGCCATCTCCTGGAGAAATTCATGCCACATCGGGAATTAGACCCGGTGGACGGATAATGATCCCGCTGACATTACTCGGCCGCATGCCACAATCAAGAGGCGTGCCCGTCGGTAGTTTCTCCGCGGATCCTCTGCAGTGTTTGGCCAGGTAACACAAACATTGCCATCACCACCCACGGGATGGACCTTCCGCCAATGAGGGGTTATCATTGTCACCATCCGCACAGCCATCATGTCACTGATGACCTTTCCAGTTTCATGGCTTTCGTCATGTCCTATGTGGCCGGCTCTTTCTGCCGGACAGGTCTCAAATCAAGGCCGTGAGGTCCCAATCCGTCCATGGCTGTGCTCGTCATCTCCAGAATCAAGGTTGTGTAACCACTGAGAGATTGTAGTACATAGTTTAAACCACCATGTGAGCAACGCACTTCCACCATACTACTGTGCGAGAATTCCATTGCTGCCATCCGGGCTCATGGCACAGCCACCTGATGATTATGATCTGCATGGCCTCAGAGCCATGGACCGTGAGACTCGACTCATGGGTTGACAACTCCGGGCCATGGTGAATAGCATCTCTGGGAAATGGCGATCGAGTTGGTGCCGTCTCGACAAGGTGGAAAGGACAAGACCTAGTCAGATTGACTGAAAAAGGGGGAAAGAATCAAGCGAAACAGGAAAGGGGAAGATCAGAAATGTGAAAAACAATCGAAAAAAATGAGTGCCTCCAAAATCAAGGAAAGACGCCCGTCCGAGACAAAATAAACAAACACTCCCCCAGCGCCTCCGGTCCAATCCCAGAGGACGGAAATATCATCCCCGCCGTCCTTGCATCCCCCGACCTTCTCGACGGAGTTTCTTTTTCTGAACTGATCCTGCGGATGGCTTGAGTCATGGCGGCTCTGCGTTTGCAGGTTTCATTCCTCGATTTGCTCACCATTCCCCGACGGCAGTGCCGGGCCAGCTGTCAGGCATCCCACTTCAATGTTCCGCTCTGACGACGGATACCAATCATAGAGGCCGGTGACATTATCCGGGATTTGTCTTCACGGGACATTCGATCATGCTGCCGGCGTTCCTATGGGATTATGGGTAGCAGTCCCATCTGCCTAGACTCCAACACAACCGGCAAAGTGACAATCACCCCGCCAACCATGGAAGCCGCAGGATGCTAAGGAAATACACAACTTTGAGTCGCAAGGTCTTTGGTTCTGTTCTATGAGTTCAGAGTCATACCTGATAGGAGTAGATGCTTCTCTACAACCAGTTTTGTACCGACTCCTAACAGACCGTCCTGGAGGAACATATCTTCTCAAGTTCGGTAAACACTTTGCTTGTTTAGCTGGTATCAACTACCAAAATGGAATGGGCCATATCGCGAAGATGCTGCAACCCTAGCAGATACCAGAACCGAGCGCGCTGACCACCAATCGAGCTCTTCGCATGGTGATGGTCGACTACATCCTAGGTAGGAGATACGCGATTTTCTTCAGCATCAGTTATGTATCTGTGACAGCTCTGCCCTATGCATATCGTCGTCCCGTCCCACTACATTGCTCTTACAAAGACAGGCATAATACGCTATGTACCAAACGTAATCCCACTCGGATGCTCCAAGCCACCCACATTCACGAGGCGTGTACATTCCATCAGGGATTGGAGCAGGTCCGTTCCGCATAATCCGTCACTCGTTCTGGTTTTCCTAGGAGACAAACGGCCAAGAGGACATCGCGTCTGCTTTGGCATCTTCGTTGACTTCATCAAACGAACTCCGTACATCCTACTTGCAGGGGGGCCTTCTGGCAACAGCCATGTACATCTTCGCCTCATCGATCAGCACCCCCGAAGGACCCGCTTCCTCAGCAAACTTCTCCACAAACAGCCGCTTCGCTTCGTCGCGGATGGCTGGATTCCCAAAATTCCCGAACATCGGGCTCGAGACAGCCTTTTCAAAGGCCTCTTCCGCATCAGCGAGCTTGTATACGCGCTCCTGGAAAGACTCGGTAAGAAAGACTGTCTTCACATCCAATCCCGCACTGCCCAGCAGATTCCCCAGAGACTGTTCATCCTGTACCCAGCTCTCGTCCCACTGCAGCGACACGCCAAGCTTGTCACTAATGCGACGCAGAATCCGACTAGGGACATGCACATCTTTAGCAGCGACATCCGTGACGAGTCTGCCACCGGGTTTCAGCCACGTCGTCCAGTGCCTGATCGCCTGGTCGGGATCCGGCAGCAAAACCAGCGCAGCAGCACACGTAATCAGATCGAACCCCTCGGAACCCGATGGGAGGATATCTAATCCCGTCAAGTCGGATATATCAATGCTGGAGGAAGATGACTTTGGATTCGGTTTGCCGGGCCTTGCGACGCGCAACGTCCAGCATACCTGGGCTGATATCAATTCCGACGACGTAACCAGATCTGCCGACTTTCTCCTCTGCGAGGAGGGAGACTAGCCCGGTGCCGCAGGCGAGATCCAACACGCTTTCACCGGGCAGTGGTTCCGCGGTGCGGATGTATGCGTCGGCCAGGGCGCCATGGTGAGAGTTGTCATAGTTTTCGCTGCGCTCGTCATAGATAGATTGGATGAAGGTGACTTGGGAGTTGGCCATTTGGATAGAGCTGTAGTGGAAGCTGATTCCGGTGAAGCAAATGGGCTGAGGTTAAGTAACCGGGCGACCCGCCTATGTCCAGTATCTCCGTGGCTGTGATATCATCCCTCCGTCTCATCTCACCTCCCAAACTTGATGCCGTTATGTCGTGCCCCTTGGAGAATCGTGATTGGTGAAGGGACCCGCTGTTTATGCTCGGATTCTTGCATTCCGAACGGGTGACTAAGATGCATAACTGTATAACTAACGTAATCAACGGTTGGGCGGCCCACACGGTTGGGCGGCCCACCCCATCGAAAACACCACCTCAAATTCCTACCTGAAGCTATTCAACTACTACAGATACCACTAAAAACACCTATCTTATTAAAAGCGTAGGTGGAACAGGAAGGCAGGATCCTCCTAACTTTTAAAATTATTTAGAAAGACTAAATCACTAGTATTCATGAGGTAGCGTGTGTTTATAATATCCCTTGAACTATTCTCTATACTTAACTATCTAGACGTGATTTTACTAGAGATATAATCTATACACTATCTAGACGTGATTTTACTAGAGATATAATCTATACACATCAAAAATTATTAAAAAATGAAGAAGATTTACTTATTAAATAAATTCTATCTCTAGATAAGCGAGGTGCAAGTCCCCAGCCGCTTAAAATCAAAAATATAACTAATCTAATCCTATCCAAACAAGATTATATAATTCCTAAAGAAGTAGGCATTAATTAAACTTATAGCTTTGTTAAATATTATAAATCTCTCTGAACCCGCTACGCTAGACGATATAACTATCAAAAAACTCAAATAGAGGATCCTAAGATTATAAAAGACTAATTTAATTAAATCTAAGAGATTATACAAGAGTATAAGATCTTATCAGATAATATCTATAATTTTAATGAAATGGGATTTGCTATAAAAATAATTACTATAGCTAAAATAATAATTAGTTTCTAGAAAACTAGCCGGCCGTCTCTAGTTTAACTAGAGAATTAGAAATAGATTACTTTAATTAAGTATATTTAATCTAATAGAATAATTTTATTCTTAATTCTAATCTTTAAAGGTAAAATATATTTTAAAGTCTAGTATAAAGGTCGATCCGTTCCCCCTACTTAGAAGATTAAAATCAGTGATAATAATTAAACTACTAATATAATTAATCTTTAATAGCTTTAAAAACATTTTATTCCATGGATCAGAGGTAAATCAGTAAGTAAATATAATCTTCTAGTATTTAATAAATATAATAATCATTTAACTCCTGAATTTAATTAAATCTATATTAAAAATAATATTATTCCTATTTATATACCTGTATATTTATCTTATCTACTTTAATCTTTAAATATTAATTATTTTAGCGTACTTAAATATATATACAGAGATATAATTTAAAAGTAAGTATAATATAACTATAATTATATCAACAAGTTTAACTTCCTAGAAGTCTATTCTAAAACGCACTAATAATCACTAATAAAATTAAATATTATTAGTAAATTTAAAGTAATAAATCTTATTTCTCTAGATTCTAAGCAAGTACTTTCCCAGCTTAATATTTATTTTAAAATACCACCTACTCCAGATAGTTAGTTAAGTAATTCAGTACTTCAAACACCATATAATATAAGATAGCTTTTAAAGTATTAGAATATAATGGAACAGTTACTTCAAAAATAATAAATAAGTCTAATTTCACCTACTTACTTTACACTACATTAATTTTTTAAAGAGTATGAGCTAACAATAACAAACTTAATTATACTAACTAAGAAGAATAAGAAACTACACGCTAACCATGTAAAATAACTATAAAAGAAAAAATATTCAAGAAAGTAAGTGATTTATATAGAAAGTACTACCATTAAGAAGTCTTAAAATACAATCTAACAAGAATAAAAAATACAAAATAATAAAAAAATTAAGATTAAAGTTTAATCTTAATCTCAATCTCTATCTATAGAGACCTTTTCATATACGCCTCTACGCTGCAGTAATTACTTCATTATTAGTCACCGACGTACGCAGTGTTTAAAACCATCTAGTTTTTAATTATATAGTATTTTTATAAGCATTTATGTTGAATTAAAGGCTTCATTTTAAAGATATCGAGCGATTCGGGCAGGGGGGTGGGCCGCCCAACCGTGTGGGCCGCCCAACCGTTGATTACGTTATGGCATATCAGCTCTCAGATGGAGATTCAAGCCAGCTCCGTCGCAAAGACCCGCGCTGCCACAAGATATAATGTAGCCACTGCATTAAAAGTCACGGCAGTCAGCCTTGTCATGGAAGTCAAGGAGACAGTCTGGTGCAATATAACCAATCAGCCAAAGACCAGGAAAGGCGCCTAATCCCCAGATGTGCCATGTATACAACAGACATGGCCTGGAAAGGTTGCCCGGGGAGGCCTCTGGCTGAACCAGACTACAACCCAAGGTGCCAAACTATCTTGTTCATGGGTAGACGAGACTACCACGTAGTGTAGCAAGCAGGAGCAGGAGGGGGGGGGGGGGGGGAAGTATATCTGATACTATGATCCTCATGTAACCGTTCCTCATCGAATGTATGTATTCTCGTAAGTAGATATCGGTTATGTTTACATCCGGCGTATCTTCAACTCCAGCATGATTCTCCTCAGACTATCAGCAATAACTCTAACCTCCACCCTTACTACTCAATCAGACGAAAAAAGATCTACCACATCCGCTCCCATACTCGCCTCACCCAACACATCTCCGCCAACTCCGCCCGCCTCCGCTCGGCAAACCCCCCATCCTCCCACCCCCGACACTCGGCATCCACCTCCACCTTACCCGAGAACAAATCCGCCTGGGCGGGATCCACCCACTTGGTCCGATGCCACACCTTCCAAAACGTGAACATGACGGCCCAGAACACGAGGCCGAAGTATGACGTGATGAAGCCCTGGACATCAAAGGGGGAGAAGACCGTGAAGCCATTGAACAACGTCACGATGGAACCAATCACCAGCGCTAGGATCGCGGCATACGGTTGACCAGGTGATGCCCACGGGAGGAACGTCTTCCGGTCGATGCCCTGGGCGTGGAGGGCACGGTACCAGGCGAGAAAGACACAGACCATGGCGGTGTAGGTGAGGATGAAGGCGGTGGTGGTGAGGTCGACGAACCAGTAGAAGACGGTGATGGCGGAAGTGTCGGCGACGAGGAAGGTAATGCAGGAGAGGAGGGAGACAGTGCCGACGCAGTAGATGGGGACGCCGGCGGAGGTGCAGGTGAGGAGGAAGGCTGGGGCTTGGTGGTGACGGGCGAGGGAGTAGAGGGTGCGACTGGCGCTGTAGAGGTAGGCGTTGCCGCAGGACCAGCCGGCGAGGAGGATCAGGAGGTTGATGAAGCCCGGGAGGCCGTGGATGCCGAGGTTCTCGATGCCGATGACCCATGGGGAGGCGGCGGAACCGGCGGCGGTGGAGGAGGGGTTCAGGGCGTCGAGGAGACGGGGGTCATTGGGGGCACAGATGATGCTGACGGCAAGGACACCGATCACGTAGAAGCCGACGATGCGGTAGAAGGTCATTTGGACGACGCGGGGGATGGTGACGCGGGGGTTTTCGATCTCGCCGGCGGCGAGGGCCGGGAGGTCGGGGCCGGCGACGGAGAAGGCGGCGTAGATGACGACGGAGAACCAGCCCAGGAAGCGGCCGGTGGTGCCGGTGGTGTAGTATTCGAACATGAGGCCGTGGGTCCAGTTGCGGAAGCCGTAGCGGTCGTGATGGGGATTGCCGCCGAGCATGGTGATGAACGTGAGGAGGACGAGGCCGAGGAGGAGGAGGATCTTGGTGGAGGCCATGATGAACTCGGTTTCGCCGTAGTATTTCACGGCGATGATGTTGAGGAGGAAACAGACGATCATGGCCATGGCCACCCAGACGGCGGGGTTGATGCTGGTGGTCCAGTATTGCATGACGGTGGCCACGGCGGCGTATTCGGTGCAGAGAAGCATGAGACCGCCGTAGAAGTAGACCCAGCCCCTGATATGGTTAGATATTCGGTGAGTGGTGGATGTAGGAGGGGATAGGGGTATTACATGGCGAATCCAAAAGCTGGATCGATGTAGCGCGCGGCGAGCTCAAAGATTGATCCTCGGATCGGCAGGTAGGCGCACATTTCGCCCACACAGAGATTGGTCGGCCAGATGAAGAGGATGCCATAGCAGAGGTAACCCAGGAATAAGGATAGAGGGCCTGCATCACGGAGGTAGGAACCAATGCCCACGAATAGGCCGGTTCCGATTGATCCTCCGATGGCCATCAACTGGACATGACGTGAGGAGAGACCACGCTTGGTCTGAGCGATATCGAGAACCGTTCCATCCTCGGTGGGAGGGGGACTGTCGGCAGAAAGCCTGGGGAGACTGGTGACTGAGGGGGATTTACCCATGGTTGACGTTGGCAAGATGCGGGAGGTGGTGGATGTCATCGTTTATATAAACCGCCGTCGGGGGACTGGCGGCAAGGCATCGATAGCAGTGGACATGCTGCTTAGAGGCTGGAAGGCATACTCCCAGTGCGCCATGTGTGGTGGAAGCATCAGCGATGCTATCGATGCGATAAGAGACGGCCGACTATCAGATCGATAACACCCAAAGAGGGAGGAGATGGCGATATCAATTGTGCCAAGTGATAAGCCAGCCACCTTATCGTGCAGGAAGCTGCTGAGTATAAATCCTGGGGATCATGGTGGACCATGGGATGAGCTGGAAGGTGGGGTGAGGTTGGACCGGGTCGATGGGCATCGAGGTAAGCCTGTTGTCGCAATGATTGGAGTTTTGCAAACTGAGAGGTGGTTAGCTTCTGGTCCGGTAGGCCATCGGGACTTGCACATAAGAACCATCGGTTCATCTCAGACGCCAGTGCATGATGAAATAATCTGCGCAGCGAATGGCATCAGCTGGACCACCAAAGAAACCATGCAACACCGCAGGATCTGCAGTCAACTCTGCCATGCCAAGAATGACTCCATGAATTCTCCTTGGTGGAATCACGATACTCCTTTTACTCTGCCAAGGCAGTGAGGAGTAAACAAGCGGACAATATAAAAGCCGGGGTGTCACAGCAAGACCGAGACCAGATCCAACCAGTTATTGTGGCAGTCACCATGAAGACCACCCTCTTGTCTCTCTTCTGTGCAGCTACCTCTGCGCTCCCCTCCCCTCTCACACAACAGAATGCAATCCCCCCCTTCTTCCTCCTAGCCGGTGACAGCACCACTGCCACCCAGTCCAGCGGCGGTGGCGGCTGGGGCGACGGATTCATCAACACGACGCTGTACTCCGGCGCCAAAGGGCTCAACTACGGCCACGACGGCGCCACGACGGTCAGTTTCCGCTCCGGCGGAGACTGGGCCACCGTGCTCTCCAAAGTCGAAGAATACAAGACCGACTACCGAGCCTTTGTGACCATTCAATTCGGACATAATGACCAGAAGGCCTCGGCCAATATCTCGGTGGCGGAATATACCAGCAATCTGGAGCGGTTTGCCACGGAGGTCAAGAATGCAGGGGGGACTCCTATTCTCGTGACGCCTCTCTCGCGACGAAACTATGATAATAGCACTGGGACACCTCTCGTGATTGAGGATCTGGCGGATCAGCGAGTGGCTACCATTGCTGCGGCGAACAATACGGACACGGCGTATATTGATCTCAATCAAGCGAGTACGGAGTACTTGAATAGTATTGGGCCAGTGGACGCATATACATATAACCTGGTTCCGGATGATTATACCCATTTGAATGTGGAAGGCAGTCAGGTCTTTGGGGGCTTGGTGGCTGCGTTGATTGATCGGGATTTCGACGAGTTGAAGAGCGATGGGTATGTGGAGGTGAACGCAACCTTGCTGACTGCGCTGGAGGAGGGCAAGTACTTCTGGCCTTGATAGTTGCTTGGTTGAATATCTCCACGAGATAGACGCCCGAACTTCTAAATACACCCTACCTCATATCCCTACAGAGATATCCTTCTTTTTCTTGCAAACCAGTGACGATATCTGAGGTAACACTCCACACAACAACTCAAAATCCAAACACCCACTTGGACATAGGGATGACCCACCCTTTGAACCAACTTTCTCCCCTCTTTCAGATTGAATTTCCCATTATTCACTGCCCAAATATGCAAACTTTATATGCATCTTTAATATGTGAGTATTCACCAAAGGCAAGGTGGTTGAGTAATTAAGATGTAAGGCTTGAAATCCCTCCTGGGTCACTATCTCATCCCTCCAGAGTCGCGTAATCACGCCCTTGTCAAATTTGTCCCATCTACTCGGATCGGTTATGTAGGCCGAATAAGCTAGTCTAGTATGTTTGTTTTCTTCTTTCTTTTTTTGTCTGGTGATAGGTGGGAATGGGGTTGGGTTGGATTACGTTGAGATTTTCGGGGTTGATGCACTTGATTGATAGAACGTGGTCGGGGGAGTACTGGGCACAGTAGAGACAATGAAAGAACATATATGTAGCTGCAGCTTTGTCGCAGTAGTACTAGATTACAGGGAATATGTTCGTGATTCTGTTGGGTCAATTGTGATGCATCTGCTTTGTACTCCGGCTACGAATGTCACTGCCATGAGAGATCAGTGCTAGACTACATTACAAATATAGTAATCTAACAACTCCGAATAAAAATCGCAATCGAACAAGAGAAACCTTCCAGACAATGAAACAAACCAGAAGGAGATCTAACAGATAGCTTTGTATCATATATAATCCAGCCAGTAAGTACCTATGTCTACACCCTCCTCGTAGACATCTTTTATCGCCGGAGCATGAAAGAGTCATTATTGAGACAGGATCGACGACATCATATTCCGCAGATAAAAGAATAAATGGAATCATCTGACCTGTACGACTGCATGGCATCCAATCATAACAGACCTATTAATGAATCAAGGACAAGCAAACAATCAAGTTAGCAACCAAGCGGCAGGTTCATCTACCAGATGACCTACCTACCTACCTACCTTGTCTTATCTGGCACGGTGTAGCAGTCCAGATCTATAGGCAACCAGATATGTACATAGAATAGGTAGAGAGGTATATAGGTAAAGATTCAATGCAGCTCGCATGTATGTAGTCCGTATGCAATGCTTATGCCAGATATTGCAGACTGCAAGATAATGTGGTGGCCAAATGACAGAAAGAAGATCAAGGTAAATACATCAGGGGTGGTAATAAGGGTACATGGTGGGCTGACGGAGCTTGAGTGCCAGTCAAGCATACCCTTCCATAAGGGGACAGAATAAATAACCAAGTGGTGGTATGTGGTCTCTGTATAGCATGTCAGTATAATTACTACTTTTGCTATAGTGGATTCCGTTTATTCATAGTAAACTGTACGCAGTGCGTGATAAGTTGCTTGCATTCATCGACAAAAATAATACCGGACAGGAGCAAGAAAGTGGGCGGCAAGTATTAGTGCATGCAGATAATAATAGTATATTAGCCAGACTAACCCTCGGCCGTCGCAGTCGGCCTATCTCCGGCATTACCCTGATTGCATCTAGCCGGTACCATGCATACAGCAATACACTGGCGTCTGAATCCCTTAGGGGTCATTTTTCTACTGATCCTGCCTTAACTTGCCACAGGGGGATGCGACCCTAGGCAGTAGGCAATAGGCATAGCAGCAAAGGTGAATCCATCACCCGTGAGATTGAGCGGATGCAGGGACCACCAAAAGGCGTGTGCGTGGCCTACCACCATCGACGGGGCAGACGAAATGACGGGCGACGGGCGGACGTGGATATTCCTGCAACGCGTTCTGCACAGCGGCCCGTGGCACGGGAGGATAGCTATGGCGTGCCTATCAGCAGCGGGGGAATGGCAGTGATGGATCCCTTGGTCGGTAGGCATTATCACCCAACTCGCGACCTAGGATCAGCTTGTCCTGCCACTCTGCGCAACACCCGGAAACAGCTCAATTACCCGCCGGACGTGCGACACCCTCCAGGAGATGCATGTATGCACATTCCTTCCATATTAATATCACATCCTAGGTACCCACCACCACCACCACCACCACCACCACCACCACCACCACACCCCACTAGCAATGGTCGCGGATCCGACAGCCGTCCGAATTTCCCTCACGGAGTCGAGGGTGGACAGTCCGGTGCTTAGCGTGCAGGATCGTCAAGGCTCAGCCGCAGCACCACTCCACTTCTTCATCCGCATCGGCCGCGCTGGTTGGAGTCCGTCGAGAAAAACACTTTATCCCTCGGAGTAACTGCGGCTAGCGTTACCACCGCTATGCTCGACCCGGTTAGCCCACACCAACATGGTGCCAAAGGGTTGATTGCTGATGCATGGTTGCATGGGCCTAATGTATGTCTTCTGTGCCGCGTAGCACCAGGAACGGTTGAATCAGAATCGTCTGGCGAGCGAGGGCGCATCCCTGTCGGGTCGAGGGGGTGGTTGAATGACCACTGGCCCAACTGCAATTATTGCCTGTGGTGGCCGGGGTGACGAGAGGATTGGACCGGCTGGACGGCGCCAGTGAGATCCCTGTATGGTAAGGTTACATATCATGCAACAGCAATAATAATAGCCAGGTCCAGTTCTCCACAGACCAGAGTGCATCCATCCATCCATCCATCTTGCAGAGATAGCATGCCGCACTAGACTGTAGGTGGTGATTAGAACGCAGGCTAGTTTCTAGTCATCGTCCAGCACCATTCTTAGCGAAAGCACGACGGAGATTGTCGATTTCCAGGACACAGTAACCTAAGTCTAGGCCCGAGATGGCTATCGCAAGAGTGACCCCATTTAGAGGATGGGGCCCTCCCGTGCAATTGCGACAGGTGTAACACTTCAAATTGACGGCTCCCTCTGACTGGCCGGCGCCTTGCTAGCGGACGCCCAGTGGGCCGCCAACTGGGTGGAGTGGATAACCAGGCTATCTGCAGTCCCCACAGGCCTATCATGGCCCCAGTCCTCCATAGCTCGGCCTGGATGGAGGATGGCGTGCTACTCACCCACTATGTAGCATCCCGTAATTAGGGAGTTATATCCGGCCATCTGATAGCAAATCAGCCCTAGCGGCGTTCCGTGCTTCGATGTAACCAACAGCACCTCCCTGGTAGCCCACAAGATGAAGGGGCACCAGTATCAGGCTATCAGTAATCCGACCAGGGCGCATTGAATATCCCTCACCATGATTTGGTCCCTTGTCCGGCGCAACATCCGGAATAGGAGCGCTGATTAAAACCCGATGGGATACGGGCTTGGTGCCTCGGCGGCCTGTTTACAGCCCTATCCGATCATTAATTAATTACCTTTGTTACAAGGACGACGGCCCGTGCAGTAGGAAATCTTGCCCATGATGCCATCTTGCATATCCGCGCGAGCAGAGGCCTGTATTCCTCGATCGCCATGCACCCCTCGGAGATTTTTTCTTTGGAGCTGCCCGTTACTCGTGTCGCGCAGGATCGACAATGCGATTGTTCCATGCTTGTATCGATGGCTGATGATGACACTGCCGTACGCCATACCGGATCATAGTGGTCCGTGGCACCCGTTGCTGAATCCCTGCTTGGGGCCGGTCGCCAAGCTGGCTCGGATCACTGCCTATCATATGTACAACATGTACAACATGTCCGCTGGATGCGTCTCAGATCGTCCATAGTCATGATGTCGAGGGACATGGTCGAGTTGGGGCGGCATGGGATATCCGATGGGGTACCATGTTTGTCTCCTCCGGCTTCCATTGTTTCTGCGCCCAAGTACGAAGTACATCGCAGATACATTGAGTGGTGTCACGATCGCACCCCGCTCCATCCCCACTGGACCGTCGGGGCCAGCCGTCGGTCGTCACTGGCGCGCGAGGGAGAGCCACTGGAAGGAGATCTTCCGCAACGGGACCCCAGTCTGGTTAGGTTCGGATAGAGCGGTTTTGACAGCCGTACTAACGCATCGTTCCTCGGTAGCCTGGACGGCGGATCGAAGGTTGCGGCAACGCCGGCATGTTGATTGGTATCGTCGCCGCTGGTACCTTGAGATGAAGCGATGCTAGCGCCTTAGCAGCATACTGCTTCATGCTCGAGGTTCAGCAGCGCTACCTCATCCCGATCGTAGCGGTGCATGTTGACGGTTACTGTAGAGACCCAGTAAATAACCAATAATACCACCGGCGCACCACATGACGCCGGACTAAATGGCGCTTGGGCTGCAGGTGGCCTGAGGTGTCGAGGGTCTGTGAGCATCCACGAGGGCCGTGCCACTGGCCGCTGGGCTTGGGGAGTCCCTACGTGTCCGGCCATTCGCACGGCGCACTTTGCCTCCGTTAGAGACGCTGGCTCATCTCTAGTCAATGCCGGGGCCATCCGTTGGGCCATGGCTTTATCATTCTTGAGCGAATATTCCCCTTTCTACCGTCCTCAGCTGCAAGACGGACATCTCGCATCGCAGAGGAACCATGTACCCCGTGCGAGGTCCATGCATAGAAGCGATCCTCAAACATCCTCCCGGACAGCAAACACCTCCCATCTTCGTGTCTGCAATCCTCCAACGTCATAACGTGGGATGTTGTGACCCCTTTCAACCAATCGGCCTTCCCCAACACTAACGTCGGCAGCACAGAACGGCGGCTAATCCTGGGTAGAATGGGGTTCTCGTGCAGCTCACCATGCAACACCACTTGCTGGGCCCCATACAGGCTTCAAAGCAGGCCAGTAATGTTGTGAGAAAATATTAGATCTTCCCTTCCTTCCGCCAATACGGTTGCGATTTGGGCATGGTTGGCGGCACTGTATATAAGACAGTCTTTGACAATCCTCACTGGGCATCATGGTGTTAGCACGGGCCATCTACAGGAATGTCCTGTGTATCATTCAGGCAATCTAATCCTTCAATGTAAGAAGGCAGGAGACCGGTTCCACCCAAGGTACCGATCTCGATAACTTCGAGTCAAGTTCTAAATCCACCTCGTTCAGATGGCACTGCAGTCGTGCAACGGAGCCCACCCGTTAGAGTTTGAGTCAGCAAATCCGCAGCATTCCATTCTCAACCATGCGCCTCCTGAATAAGATCGCGCACTCGCCAGTGCATGCTGCGTGGCCACTCTAATTACGGCTGTGACCTGACCGGCCGGGCCTGCCTCGGAAGAGCGACAGCACCCATGCTCAGACACTTTAGCATGAAAGTCAAATCCGCGTGCGCCAGCAAGCTTTGACCAATGCAACCAACGTGGACACGATACTTTGGAGGATCGCTCATGTTGGCTGGGGGTCCGGCCCAGAAAGTCGAAGACGGAGTCTGTTCCTAAGGAACCGGGCCCGGTGCTCAGGGGGACGGAAGTTTTGGAGAGACCAACCACGATGATCCCCCAGCACCGGCAACAACATCCAATCAACGCCTTGGGGGGGAATGTCGGGGGTGGGTAGTGCGACCGGTGGCTCCGGATTATTTCGCCCATGGCCTTTTGCCAAGTCTTCAGTGTAGTCGCCTTTGACAGGGAAGCGCACTCCACTGGCATCGATCAACTGCCAGATCCGATAGCGAGGTGAAACCGAACAAAAAAGTTCGATAACCTTAGCAGACGGGACCAAAATTGGATACCGCCCGATGGACGCGAGGCCAACGGAACCTAGGGAGCAAAGTGCCTAGGCGCGTCCACGATCCAGCTGAGCTAAAGGCTATTGCAGACGGCGCGCCCGGACTCACCCCTTCACTCAGGAGTCTCCACGGAGTACTAGATACTCGATAGTTAATAGAGTGGGTAGTAAGTGTAAGTCGGTGGAATGACCTCAGGGGTTCCACCCGCCGCTTCAGATCGAACGGATGCGATTGGCAAAATACCCGCTGGATCCAGGGAAATCCCCCACACGAACCTTGAACCTTTGGTCTCATTTGCCCTCCCCACAAAATGGCGCAAGCTCGGTCTCCATGCTGCGGTCCGGCCGGCCTCTAAGTAGGTAGTGCGGTAGTTAGTATCCAGCTACTCTGTAGCAGCACCTTCCTAGTTCTTCCTCTTCAGTCGCAGTTAATTACGATCAGTTCCATTGTTTCACTTCTTTGCCCTGATTGGGGGGTATCTGAAGCGGCGCCAACCGCCACCACAAATTGTAAGCAGCAGCAGTAGCCGAGGCAGCTCATCGACTCGGGCGCATCCGTCCAAGGTTGGTCTCCCAAGGCCGAACCGTCTGCGTGGTTTCTTTTGTCCTTACCCCAGACCGAGGCCATGTCTGGGATCTGGCTCGCTCCCATCGAAGCTCCTGCTGAAGCCGGGAGCAATAGTCGCCGATCCGGACAGTCACGAGGTCTGGGGTTGGATTCCACTCTGAACTCTGGCTCCTGCCGAGCTCGACCAGAACGGGCCAGCAGAACGACGGCCGGCCACTGGAACCGGTATTGGTATGGCCCTGTGACGATATCTTACCCCGGCGCACTCCCCAATATTACACCGTACACGCGTTCCATACCCATCCATACCCCGTATCTAGTATCAGCAAGGCCGGGGGGTCAATCAGCCGGCCTGCAGCCTGCCTGCCTGATCCGGTTAGGTTGCCTGTTAGCCCGGTAGCCTGGAGCGCCTCCAGCGAGCGACCACTCACCGGTAATCTAATCTGCAATACAATTGCCGACGATAGCAAGTGTCTCCAACACAAGATCATCGGCTGGATGCATTGAGCTGACACTCATGGCTCACCAGTGTTATCATCGGGACGGACGGTCGAAAGATCTGATAACTACAATGCATTGAGCGCTATACCTGGCTGTCATTTCGCCTCCATGATGGCGCCGTTCTGGTCGAGTGACGGCCTTGAATGCATGAAGCTACAGCACCGAGTTCAATTGTAGCCAGGGGGGTTCAATACTCCGGCATGCATCACCCTCTGACCATGCAGTAACCTAGGTCACAATGATCAACCAACTGAGACTAGGTTTTCTACCGGATTGCTATCTGGCTTTGTGTCTTTCGCTTTCGAAACTGGAGTGCACCAGGCCGCCTTGAACGAAGTTTCAAACCTTCCCAGCAAACGGCAGGAAACATCCGAATTCGCACCGCAGACATTATGGCAAGGTTGGGCGGAATCGCTGGGAGTACATGGTTTCGACAAGGAAATCACTGCAGCAAACAAGCAATAGCCCCGACCAAGGCCTCCGAGCTAGGAAACGATGCAAGCGAAGGTCGGAGGTCAGCACCTACCTACTTCGTACCAACTTCCTGTCAGAATGGTTAGCAAGGTTAAAAATAACTCTTTGGGCATGGTCGCTAGGTACTTCGTATCTCGTGTCTCATCTGGGGACCCCCAACGTAGTTGAGGGAAATTAGATGGATGTCTTCAGGCCACCGCCCAGACGCAACTAGTCCAGCTACCGCGTCATATCGGCCGTGTCTCTCCCAGCCACGCGCCTGCGTTGATTGACAGTCGACTCCATTATGGTCGTAGCAATCATTCCACCGGGATGTTGGGCGGGTTACTATGGAGAAAGGGCCAGTGCTAGCATAGCAGCCAGGGCGTAAGTACAATGATCGGGGTCGTTGGAGACAGGTGAATACGGCGGACGTACCATACTCGCCCGCGGGCTGTGACGGTACCGTGTACGGCATCCTCCCCGTGACTAGGAGGTGGGGCAGGCCCTTTGGCTCTGGCCCTGTCATGGCCCATGCTCTACAAAGCACGCCGGACGAGAGCCACCCGGCCCACTTCGGTTGCCGTTACGGGCCGTGATTGGGTGGGCACCCTGACTAAGGCCGGAAGCTGTTTCGTGGGTTTATCTCGCGACTCTCGCCGGGGTAGGGAGACAGCCTCTAGTCTCATCGAAGCAGAAAGTCAAGTCACTGCTAGGTGGGAGTCCGGCGGCCTCTAGCTGGGAGGCTAGGCTGGTCTCTCGTGATTGGAAGACAAGTGAAAGTGACATACCTGGCCACTGTCTGAGATGGCCGCGCCTTCTTACGAATTACGACATTCCCAATTTCTACTAACTCGTAGTCGTAGTATCTGCCACTCACACTAGCCCGAGTTGCTCCCGGCGTATGGATCTGGTACAGTACTCTGGTGGTCTCGTCATTTTGGAGTTATCATTTTTTTTTTTTTCCTTTTCAATTATTCTGGTTATTATTATTCTAGTTACTATTCTGGAGGTGCTGGTGCTCCCCGTGCAACGGCGGACTAGGTCGTTTCCTTGTTGCGACAGAGAGCCACTCAACGGCCGCGGTTCCTGCTCGTACGGAGACACCTCGGAGCGTACAGCCTTACTCCCTCCATCCACCCCATCCATCCCATCCGTCATTCAACCTCCCTCACCTGCGTCTCTCTTCTTAACTACTACCATTTGCTCTCTTCAGTTTCCTATAATTCTTTTCCCCCCATTCCCCAAAGATACCACCGTTGTTCTCCCATTTCCCGGGGTGAACGTGCCGACTGTGGTGCTTATCAGCAATTGAGCAGCTCAGCGCCCGTCAATTCCCCCCCTCAAGTCGGCTATCTCCGGCTTATCCACCGACTCACACCACCACCATCGCGGCGCATGCCCGCATCACTTGCCTCCCTTTGAAAGCTCGAGCAGTCAGGACCAATGGTCGTCGATACTTGTGGGTGATTCCGACTATTGTAACGGTGCTTGCCTTGCACTCAGGTTTTGGTGAGTAGTGGCCACCCGTGGGTTTCCCCTGGAGCCCTGGAACTCAACCCCCTGCTGATTACAGTTGCTAACCCCGAGATCGTTTCTCTTTCCCCCCAGGAACGGGACCACTTCGCCACCAGCCCACTCTGCCTAATTTCTTTGTAACGGTGATCCGGGTAATCCACTTGCATAGTGTCAAGTTATTATTACCTTCAATTCCCTCCCCGGATAACGGCTGTCTCCTTGTTTTCTCCCCGGCATCTATTACCATCTGGTGAGTGTCCCGTGGAATTGCTGCACCCTATTCGCCGCATCTTCTATCCGGACAATGGACCAGACTAACTCTATCTCATTGAATCAGAATGCTGTCAATGTCGCGTCTACTGTGCAACCTTCGCCAGTAGCTTCATTTCCTCACCTCTCTAGCTGCCTATACCGGCAGTACTCTGGCTGCCCCTCCACCCTTATAAACCCCCGGCCTCGTGCTGCACTAGACTCCGCCCCCGCAACCAGTGCCTTCACTGGTTTTCACCAAGACACACCGTTCCTAGGATGTTATTAGATACAATGGTTGGCCAAGACCCGGCCACCAGCCCCAAAATGGAGGATCTCGCGAGCATCAGCGAGGTGCCCGTCGATGTGCCTGGTGAGTCCGCCGTGTTGTCGAGGACTTCACTCTGGTGCCCTGATTTCTAATAGAACTAGCTGCTCCTAAGGAGGACTCGAAGAAGGAGGCCAATGGCCAGCCCAATCCGAGTGCCACCGTGCCTCCGCCGAAGACTGACAAGCCCCGCCCTCATGGTTGTACGACATGCGGTCGGTCCTTCGCTCGATTGGAACACCTCAAGCGCCACGAGCGCTCGCATACCAAGGAAAAGCCCTTCGAGTGCCCCGAATGCTCGCGCTGTTTTGCTCGTCGGGACCTTCTTCTCAGACATCAGCAGAAATTACATATGACGACCACTCCGTCGTCCCGCCCCAGAAATGGCCGGCGCGAGAGCACTGGGGGCGCTTCTACTGGAGCGAATCGCGTTCGCAAGAATTCGATCGCCAGCAACGCCAGTACCATGCGTCCTCGGGCCAACACCATTAGCCATATTGACGGGGCTTCCCTGGGGCTTGTAAATCCCTCCAACCCGCCATCCGCACCAGGGGGTCACTCCGGGCATACTTATCACCCAAGCATTGGTTCCGCGTCCGTGGGTCCAACCCTAGACTTTCGTGGTTTTGCCTCGGGCCATCATGCTCCGATGAATGGCCTGACAAAGCTCGAAACATCCGGGTTGCCCATGGATCTTTCCGGCGGTCTCCGCACGGCCCCCGTGTACGGGAGCTTCGACCTCAACGTCCCCGACATGTTTTTGGGACATGGTAGTACCATCAATCCAGCTCAGCTTCATTTCGGAGGCTCCCCACAGCCCTACGGTAATGACTCGCCCTCATCACCATATGCCCATGGCGCCCATCATATGCCTGCGACGGATGCGATGATGGACGACGATTTCAGCTTCGATTGGATGAATACCTTTGACCCGGCCGTGACAATGGGTAAAAGCAGCGATTCCGTGATCGATGAGTCGTCCCCTTCCGCCATGAGTACGGGGAGTCAGAGCGGGATTAGCGAAGCCATGATGGATGGATCGCATCGCTATTCTATCTCTTCAGCTGGCTGGCACAACCCGTTTCCCCCACATTCGGCGGCGCCCCCAGGCCAGTTTCCCCTCGAGTACAACTCCTCGAGCTTTAACGATATAGGAATCCCGCCAGAAACTGTTTCTCCGAAGTCATTGATGGCTCAGAATCCGTTCGCGGAAACCTATGCTACACCCCCATCCATGACTTCCGTTGGCCAGCCCATGATGGGTGGACATTCGCAGAGTATGTTTTCATCCTCTATGGCAACAAACGGAGAATCTCCTAATCCTCTCAACCTGCCTTTCGCGAATAGTGCCCTACGAACTCACCATTCCCCAAGCTCCACGGATACATTTACAGACTCCACCCGACAGGCTTTATTAGCAAGCATGGCGCACCCGACCAGTCTCAATCACCGCAAGTACTCCCAGCCCACCAGCGGCATGATTCCCTGCCGCGATCTCTTTTCTCGTTCCTCCACCTTCACCGGCCCCGGTCAATTACCCAGCACCTCGGACATGCAGCGTTACATCTCCGCCTACATCACCTACTTTCACCCACACATGCCTTTCCTTCATATCCCGACCCTTGATTTCCAAGCACCGGAATACACCAGCAAGCTACGGACTCCCAGCGGACATCTCAACCTTAGTTCAACCGGCGTTACTGGGGGTGGTGGCTCCCTGATCCTTTCGATGGCAGCAATCGGGGCGCTCTACGAATTTGATACTGCCGCCTCCAAAGACCTCTTCGAAGCTGCCAAGAAGATGATTCAACTCTATCTAGAGGAGCGCCGTAAGGCTGACATGTCGACTGCGATCGGGCGCCAAAGTCATGCCCGTGACAGCTCGGTGCAAAATACCCCGCTGTGGTTGGTTCAAGCGATGCTCCTCAACGTCATCTATGGCCATACCTGCGGTGACAAGACGTCGGCTGATATTGCGAGTACTCACTGTGCGGCGTTGGTCAGCCTTGCCCGAGCGGCTGAATTGAACCGTCATCTGGATGCGAAGGATCTCTCTCAGGACTACCTCGCTGCTGGGCTCAGCAACCGCATTGGTGCTGGTCCCGACGGCTTGAGCCAGCCAGTCTCCGGACAACCAAAGGAAAGGAAAGACTGGCTGGACTGGAAGATCGTAGAGGAGCGGAAGCGCACTCTCTACGCCATCTTCGCTCTTTCGTGCTTTCTTGTGTCGGCCTACAACCATGCACCGGCTCTTACCAATTCTGAGATCCGCCTCGATCTACCCTGCGAAGAAGATCTCTGGGCCGCGGAGTCCCCGCAGGCTTGGAAGAGGCTAGGTGGACAGTCATCCCCCAAGAAGGGGCTGTCCTTTTCCGCAGCCTTGACCACGCTTTTGACCGCCAGTCAACGAGAACAGCAGTCGTCTCAGTCGATACCAACCCAGGTATCGGGAAATGACAGTTCTTCCGATGATTCATCTCGTGGGGAATTAAAGCTGAGTACTTTTGGCTGTCTGGTCTTGATCTATGCCCTGCACAATTACATCTGGGAGACTCGTCAACGACACATGGGCCGGCAATGGACGTCTCGAGAAACAGAGGCCATGCAAGCTCATATCGAACCGGCATTGCGAGCCTGGCAATCTGCTTGGGCGAGCAATCCCGTGCACAGCTTGGAGCGCCCCAATCCGTTTGGCGCCGGACCTCTGTCTGCCGATAGTATTCCTTTATTAGATCTCGCCTATGTAAGGTTATTCGTTAACCTTGGCCGGTGCAAGGAAGCATTCTGGCAGCGTGACTGGAATGCTATGTCGGACGAGCTTGCGCGTGGAATAGAGGTTGTTCACCCCATGGATGACATCCCCTCCGATGTCCTGGACCCATCAATCACCGAAGGCTCGGACCTGACCAACAACCGGCGCGATTCAGTGGCCGATCTGGGAGTGGGAGATCTTTCCATATCCACCACTCCCACCCAGGATCATCCTCTGCAGACCCTTATGGGGGTATATCGACCTGGTCAGACCAAACGTGAGAGACATCTTCGCAAGGCAGCGTTCTATGCGGCGGACTCCATATCGATGTCCGATCAACTTGGAAATACCTTTGCCGAGTTCACATGCAGGGAACTACCCATTCAATGTGCCATGTGTACTTTTGATTGTGCCCAGGTCCTTGCAGAATGGATCACCACTGTCCAAGAGCGCGTTGGCCCCTACCTAGGCGTGTTGGGTCAGGACGATGTTGATCTCACGCAAGCTACCAGTCTTCTACTGCTCGAGGAGGAGGACTGCAAACTGCTGAGCAAAATTACGGAGATCCTTGCTAGTGTGGAAGGCAAAATGCAGAGGGAAGTTCAAAGCGGCGTAACCATGTCCGCCCTGAGCGTCCTACAACGCCTGCCTAGCGTGGTCGAGGGGGGTTATGGTTGCAAGATCCTGCTGGCCACGGCGAGTCTCCTTGACCGGGCTGCTGTTTGGCCGGTGACAAAGCTCATGGCTCGATCCCTTGAAGCACAAGCTATGCGGCTGAAGGAGCGTGCTGAAAGCTCCGCTATAGGAACGAGCTAGCTCAACCAGAAGAGTGCCTTAGGTGTCGCTACATATCTTGATGAAAGTCATATCGCAAGTTCCGAACCGCATGTTGCTTAAATCTTGCCAACCTTGTGGCTCGGCCCGCCATCATCTAAGCTGAGACTTTCAGTTAACTCTGCATGCGCGGCTTGATGGATCCTTCTGTTCTACCCTTGAAGACCCCAACTGCTCACTTTCCAGTGCAGCAGATTGATGGGACCGGAGTGCCGTGACAGTGTACGTCCTGTCATACTCGCTCGCTTCGAGCGCCCTTGATAGGCACAGTTACGATGGATTTTCGGTTGTCAGAGCCAAAAGGCAGCCCTTAAGGTTCCCTGGCAGCATCACAAACGATCTTTTCAACATCCTGATGCACCATGCCCTGATAGCTGGGCAAATGAGATTTGGTTATTATGCTCCTCGATGGTGGCGTATTTCTCCTCCCGCCATTACCACCTTCACGCTGTCATGCACGTGCCCTTATGTTTTATTACTGTGCGTTCCTCTATGTCGATTCATGTGCCATTATCAAGAGACGTTCTATGTATTTTGTTGTGTTTCTGTTATATTTTGAGATGGGCGGAACCTTGACCACCGGGAGGACTTGTGAACTAACGACTGTGAGACATGGATCTTCACGATACCCAAACCCATATTGATGATTCCCGGCATGATGATCGATCTGATGTTGAGATGTGGGTGCCATGTGCTGGAGCCTTTGTTATATCATTGTGCATATATGACTATATATAAATGGTGTACATACAAGACCAAGTGAAATTGAAATCAGACTGGTATTACAATTTACCTTTTCATTCCAACGGTTGCCAATGCTCCTGCTGATAGAGCAACTGAATAAAGTATATCAAATAAAACGAAAAGGCATCACAGACCAACCCAAAGTGACTCAAACAAACCCCACAACTACACTTATTACAACACCACCGAACACAGACCTCACGACAAAGAAGAATAAATAATAAAGTGATCGTTCTACTTTTATACCATAAACCCCATACATACAAACCTATGTAATCTATACAATAAGTCTCTCAAAGGAGTACTTGCCCGCCGCTTTGCGACGCAAGTAACCAATCTCTCGACTACTCCTCGTCTTAACCTCACCGGTCGACAACTTGACCTTAGTCTTGCTGACATCATTCGAGCCCGCCTTCAACGACAACGGCAGCAATTTGCCGCTGGCATCGCCTTCGAATCCTTCATCGCCTTCCGCGGCACCAAAGACCATCAGATCGGCGCCGTTGAGTTTCTCGCAGCGTACCATGGCGGACGCGGGGGCGTCGCTGCCGGAGTCGACGTTCACGGTGGTGAGGGCGGCGCGGCTGGCGCTGTTGGCGTAGCGGAGGTATTCGTGGAGGATGCCCTTGAGGTAGGTGGCCTCTTCGACGCCGGCGAGGGCGGCGGAGATCTCGGATTTCATGTCGGCGATCAGTTCCTGGTCGCGGGCCGGGGAGTCGTCGGGGTTGCCGGCGGTGGCGGAGATCCAGCCCGAGGGGCCGATGGCGTCGACGGAGGCGTTGAGGAGGTCGATGATGGTGGAGAGGGAGAGGGGCGGGTTGGTTTGCTCGGCGGGGACGGGGATCGGGGGCGATTCGGTGAATCGGGAGGTGTAGCCGCCTGTGGCGAGGGAGAGACGGAGATGATGGACCATGGAGATGATCTCGGTGCGGGACAGGGCGGAGCGGATGGACGAGGTGATGGCGGAGAGGGGGTGGCGGTGGATCTTCTGGAGGGTGGTGTTAAGGGCGAGGAAGATGTTTTCGAGGCTGGCTTCGGCGGGGGTGGAGAGGGTGAGGGCCTGGGTGGTGGTGGAGTCTTGGTCTTCGCCGTTGGTGAGAGCCTTGGTGGTTTCCTCGTCTAGCGTGATGGAGCGGGAGCGAGCTGTGTTGATGAGGAGCTTGAGGATATAGGCGAGCTCGTCGGTGGAGAAGAGGACGCGGCCCTGGAGGACCTCGATGAGGCGTTGCAGAGACGGATCCGAGTCGGTCAGGCCTTGGACGAATGACCCGGTGGGGAGGGAGGGGAGGATACGGGGTTTGAAGGATCGACGCAGCGCAATCTCGACGTTGTTCACGGACAGGTGGCCGATTTGGATGAGCCATTGGCAGGTTTGCTGTGGCCACAGGTCGACGGACACGCGGAAGGAAGACAAGGCCGACAACTGATCCTGGGTTGAGGCATCATCTTTCAGTGTGAATATCAAGGACAACAGGAAGATCGTCTGCTCCGGGTTGACATATGTGTCGGGGGAAGGAAGGCCGTTAGAGCCGAAGTAAGCCTGCACTGCGCGGTCAAAACCATCGGTGTTCTTGGATGCGGCACACTTGCGCAGCTCGGCGGTCAACTTGTTCCAGCGTTCGACTTGTTCTGGTGAAGTGAGGCCCAGGGCCGCTGTGTATTCCGTGCGATGCTTCTTCGTAGCTGGATCCCATTGAGTAGCGGAGGAGCCGATACCACGGCCGATAGCGTCAATCAACAGGCCATCTCTCGAGCGCTTGAGGGACGGTCCCGCAGCATTGTGCGACGGGCTTAGGTCGAATGCTAACAGAGTGTTGTTCTTGGTGGCAATGGCGACTCCCAACTTAGCATAGTAACTGACGAACGTGGTCCGTGCCTTGACGCCGGAAGATGCACTGGCTGGGACGTCGCCGACGGGGATGCTCCGCTGCACCGACTTGTATTGTGTGTCGTAGACCGCGATCATGGATTTGCCGGCGCCAATTACGGACTGGGGCGAAATGCGCATAACCGAGGAGAATTCTTCATCCTCGAGGATGAACTTCGAGGTCACGGTGGGGGTGTACTGGGAGAGATCGAAGTTGATGTAACCCCGTCCGAACGACAGGTTCAGTCCGGCCGATCCAGCGTGGAAATACCACTGCGAGCCACGGCTCTCGATTGCCTCCTGTCCTTCCACATCAGGCATGTTGACAGTAAGAAGGTGTCGCATTTTTTGGCTTTCATCACGGCCCTGAGATGCGTTGGCTGGAACGGAAAACATCTGGACCTTCACGTCGCTGAGCTTGGTCTGCTCCGAACCAGTGGGGTGTGAAACGAGCAGCAGCACAGAGGGCTCGTCAACACCAGACTCGGTCAGGTTCCCGAAGGCGAGAGCCGCCAGGTCTTGTCTCCGTTTGAACAGAGACTTCTTCGCATCTTCGAATTCGACAAGGAAACATGAGCGGATCTCATGGGTCGCACTGGTTTTGGCGACCTCGCTGTGGCGAAGGCTCCAATGTTGGGTCTTCAGATCAGAAGACAGTCTGCGCACACGACCGTCCTGATGGACGGCTAGAACATCAAAGGATTCTTCCTCTTCTTCCTCCTGAGACTCGGTGGGAACAATGCCAACGAAAACCGCAGGACTTTCCGAATCCTTGACTGAGTAAGATGACGAAGCGATAGAGGGCGCGCTGGACCCGTTTCCGCCATGTTCCTCCACAAAAGACTCGATCTGCTGCTTCACAGCGACGTAAGTCTGCCTCCTCACAACGGACTTATTCGGGATCTTTCTGCGGACCGAGCATGGCTGGCAAGAGAACGAGGATTGCGGCGGAACGGCATAGGAGGTCACCAACTTGGGGGTTTGGATCTAGAAACAAGCAAGTCAGCTCCAGAGACCGGGTTCTTCATTCTTCGTTTCAATTGTTCATGCATACGTTGTAGATGTTCACGGCCTCCCCATCCACTGCAACGACCACTTCATGTCTCTTGCGCTTTTTCGAGTCGGCCAAGCTGTGGACTTCACCGAGATGGGTTTTGCCGGTAGAGGCATGCAACGGGCGAGGCAAATGAGCCAACACCGACGGCGGTTGCAGATCCATGATGGAGGGGCTCGAAATCGAAGAATGCGATCGTTGCGCGACCGTTGCCGCCGAAAAGCTGAGGAACCTGCTGTTTCATGAGAAAATCGCTCTGTATGGCTTCCCGAAAAATTTCCGGGCTTACGTTGCGCCGTCCTCCGCGGCCTTTCCACAGAGGGTTAGCGCAGAAGACCCGCGGTAATCAGTGTAATCAGTATGGCAAGAATGACGTCCGGCGGAGAGGCCCTCGGCTCCCACTGCGGGATCCCGCGCTGCTTCGTGTCTCTTTCGTTCCTTAATTGCTTATTGCCGCTGCAGTGGGATCTCCATGCTTGCTCCAATACATGTATCCGTTAATTTCATGGCCTCAACTAATCCCTCGCAAGCGTCGAACACAAGCTCATCTTCTGGGTGCATCATTCTGATCTAGATTTAGTATGGCGATGGGACCATGCGAGCAAGCCATCCATCCGGTATTCGACGAGGCTATTGTCTCCTCTGGCCTCCACGTCCATAAGTTTCCAGCTTCTGCAGTTCTCCAGACTCACATTATCTACAGTCCAATTGGTCAAATCTCTGTCACCGATGAGACCTACTAAAACCGGGCTCTCCCCAAATAACCACCCACCAGCCATACCCTTCCCGATTCTATCCCACCGTCTTCAGCTGCCCGCCGCGTCTGTCGCAACGATAAAGAATTGCTTGAGCTCCAAGAGTACCGAGGGATAAAGCACAGGCAAAAGTCCTATAATATAACACCTGGACAGGAATCAGCGGTGGATTATATGGCCTCTGAAGACATGCAGTTTCAAATCAAAGGGGCAACTTCGTTTGAGAATATGTTTACGAGACTACTCAGCAGTACCTTCGGGTTCTCTGAATCTATTACTGATGTCGATCCTGACGCCCCTTCTGTGCAGTAGTCGTAATATCTTTGGCTACACCAGAACCCGGTCGACGGGGAATTGTACCAGCGAGATGCCTGATCTGCTTATTCAAGACCCATTGCCGAAAACCCGAGCTCGCATATTCAAGGACTAATGGCCTACAGCATCTGTTTTGTCTCATAAATCGGCATCGGCTGAGCAAAATGATCTGAGAAGCAGTGGTACAAAATAATGATAGACACGAGCGAGCCAAGCAGCACTGACAGGGGGCAACGAAGCCACACTC